CGGGGTCTGGAGGGCCACAGGGGCTGTTGCGGGGGGGGGGCGGGGGGTGCTGGCACGGCGGGGGGGGCCGGAGCAGGCGTGGCTCCTGCAAGGGCCTGGGTGTTGCTGGGCACTTAGTGCTCAGTGAGGAGGCCAGGGAGGGGCACGCAGGGCCAGGAGGCTGGGCCTTGGGGTCTGGAGGCTTGGGGAGGCTTGAGCTTTGGGACAGAGGGGAGAGCCTGGGGGCCCAGCAGATGCCACAGACACCGGCCTTGGAAGAGCGGCCTGAGGGGTCAGGCAGGCAGACAGGACAGGCCCAGGGCGGTCCCGCCAGCTCCTCCAGTGCCAAGGTCCCTGCCAGGCTGCCCCTTCACCTGGCCAGAGGCCACAACCCTGCCGCTGCCCCCTCAGGATCTTGGCTGCCCCAGCTTGGGGGCGCTCTGGGGGCTGCCCTGGGGCTGAGCCTGGCTGGTCTGGGGCTGTGGAGGGGGAGAGGAGAGAAGGCCGGGGAGGGAGCAGCGTGGTTGGAAACCCGGCAAGGGGAAGGCAGAGGGAGGCGAAGTGGTCAGGGCCGTGGTGGGGAGGGTCCCGGCCACCCCACAGGAGTGGGGGCAGAGTGCCCGGGCCTGGCCAGGCCAGTGCCGCCTGGAGGGAAGGGCCGAGGCCAGGCCTGGTGGGCGGGGAGGGTGGGGACCCGGGGCACCAGGGGGTGAGCTGCCCATCCCAGCAGGGGCCCACCTCTGCCCGCTGTGACCCCCCCACAGGGCCCTGACCAGATGTCCCCCGGCTGACAAGGGGTCTGGCTAGCCTGGCTTTGAGGGGTGTGTGCCCAGGGGCTGGGGTCTTGGGAGTGCTGGAAGCTCGGGAAGCTGAGGACTCGCCCAGGGCACCCTCCCAGGCCCTACCCTCGGGGATCAGATTCCTCCAGACTGGGCTGCGGGCCTCCAGGCCATATAAGGATGGGTGTGGGCACCTTCTGAGCCTCCCTCCCCCTGCCCCATGGGAGCCAGAGCTTGGCCAGGCCCCCTAGGACAGAGGGGGGACGGGCTGCTGGCCCAGGCCTCTGTGGAAAGGGAGGAGGGGGCAGGCCAGGCCCCCGGGGCTGGGACTAGGGTCCCTTGAGTCACCTGCCCTGCCTCTGTGCTGGGGACCCCTGCCCCGCGCCCCCAGGCTGCCCAGTCTGGAGTGTGGAGGACAGGCGAGGGTTGGGGGGGCGCTCGGGCCAAGGGTCAGCAAGGCTGGGAAATGATCTGCAGAAATGGCCGGTGTGGACGCTGCCCCCAGGCCGGCCAGGTGTCTCCTTCTGGGGTCACCCAATGTGCTCCCCGCAGGTCTGGGGCCAGGAGACCGAATCCCTCCGCCTCACACCCCAGCAGGAGCTGGGGGCCCGCACACCCTTTCCAGGCGGGAGACAGTTGAGGGTCCCACCCTGAGGGCTCGGGCTCCTCTCGCTGCGCCCAGGGCAGCCTTCTCCCTCGGGCGGGTGCCGGGGCCGGCGGGGCCTCTGAAAGGCTGGGTTTGGGCCAGGCCTGGGGAGGACCAGTCACTGGTCCCTCCTGCCGGCCACTCCCCCCCAAGGAGCCACTTCCCCGGGGTCCCCTCCTCCCCGCCCCCTTCCCCAGCAGGGCCGCTTCTTCCTGTATCCCCACAGGGGCTGCTTCTCAGGGGATCCCCTCTCTGCAGGGCTGGGCATCTGGGCACAGGACCAGGACGAGGGATGCTGCCTGGACGCCGAGGCTTTCTCTACGTGCTCGACGCCCGTGCCCTGCGCCAGGCTGGGCCAGGGTGGGCCGCAGAGGCCTTCCCTCCGCCGCAGGGCCCCTGAGCGCCTGGTGCTGAGGCCTGGGAGCGAAGGCACCACCGGGGCCCCTCGAAGGCGGGAGCCTGCTGGGAGATAACGTGGCCAGATGCCCGCTGGGCCCGGACTTGGAGGGCACCCACCTGACCCGCTGAGTGGTGGGCTCAAGGGGGCCTGGCATCAGCAGCCGCCTTGGTGGCCGGGTGGCCGGGAGGGTGGTGACAGGAGGCCCCAGGGGCGCCCCGGCCAGTGGCTGTCCCGCCGGCCTGCCCCAGCCCGCCAGGAGAAGGGCCGGCCCCTTCCAGCTCAGGTGGGCATCAGGAGTCTGGAGGCCCCAGGGGGGTCGGCGGGGCAGCAGGTCCTCCTGCCCTCGAGGGTGGAGGTGCCGAGGCCGTGGAAGGGGCATCCCAGGAGGACCCGGATGCTGGGCCGCTGCCCAGGCTCCCTGCACCAGCATGTGGCCCACGGAGAGCCCTGAGCCCCGTGTTCCGAGCCGCGGGTTTGCGGGGCTGTTACGGGGCTGTTACAGGGCTGGGCCTGCCTGTCCAGGAGCAGCTGAGAAGTGAGCTGAGAGGGGGCCCTTTGTGGGGGGAGTCCTGGACTTGGGGCTACCCAGCCTCCTCGCCTGACACCCACACACGGTGTCCCTCTCACCCACGCAGGCTGCGGGGGGCCGGGCTGTGTGGGTGTGGGGGGCTGGGCTTGGGGTCGGACCACAGCAGGCAGGTGCCCCTGCAGCTCCCAAGTCAGAAGCTGCAGGTGGGGGTCGTTGGCCAGGCAGCTCTTGGGCCCAAACCCGCAGTCCCTGATCTGGGTCAAGCAGACCAGTGTCGCCCTGGAACCCCAAGCCCGGAGGCCGGGAGCCCAGGACTGCTGGGGCCACTGCTGGCCGCAAAGGCACCTCTCCCTCCGCGGCCGGGTCACCTCCATCCTCCTCAGGCCAAGCCACCTGGCCCCGCGGTGGAGGGCACAGCCCATGGGCCAGCCCAGCAGGGAAGGGGTTCTCCTGCCGGGGTGGGGCGCTGCTCTGCACCTCCTGCCAGAGCTCGGTCCTGGTCCCCATTCCCTGTCCCCCGTGAGCCCCAGCAGCCCTCCCCCAGCTGCCACTCTGGACTCGGCCGGGGCCCGGGGGCTCTGCCCAGCTGAGGCCCACAGAGCGCAGGCGTGCCCGCCTCCTCCCAAGGCCTGGCTGCGCCGGCCTGCTGGTGCCCAGGGCCCCTGCCCTGGGTGGCGCGAGGGTCTCGGCAGCTGCCTGGTCAGGCACGGTGGGGAGCGGGGCTACCGGAGGCCCCGCACAGCCAGCTGTGGGCCGCCGTGACGACGCTGACGGTGACGTGGCCTGAGTGTAGGGGGTGGGCGGCGGCAGCTGCTTCCCAGGGAGGCCCCTGTGACGGGCGCTGAGTCAGGCGCCTCCGGCCTGGCCGGCTGGTCCCCACAGCTGTCGGCTACCAGGCCCGGCTGGGATCCTGGGGCGCTGCTGTGTGGGGCAGGTCCCAGGTGAGGGGGCTGTCCGAGGGCAGGTGCGCCTGGCCAAGGCCTGGGAACCTGCTGGCCCTCAGGAAACCTGTCTGGCCCCCTGTGACCCTGGGGCTGGCAAGGAGGGTCCCGAGTCTGGGGTCCTCCAACAGGGCACCAGAGATGGCAGGGCACAGGCAGGGCGCAGGGTGGGCACCTCACTAGGCCACTTTCCACCCTCTCCGCCCGCCCCCCCAGGCTACCGGTTGCCCGGGCAGCTGGCTGCAGAAGCCTGGCTAACCCGCTGGCCCGGGGCTCGCTGGCTCAGCGCATTCTTGGGCAGCGCGGCTCACTCGCTCACTCCTGAGTGGCTCCCCTCACGCTGCCCGCTGATCCCCCCTGACGATGGGGAGCAGCCCTGGGGGTCCCCAGCCCTCAGCACTTAGGTCGCCCCCAGACAAGGGGGCTCAGGGGCCAGAGGCCATTGCTGTGATCTGCCTGATGGGGGGCTGCTGCCCGGAGACCACTTTCTGTTTGTCCCCTAAGCTGGCAGGTGGACACCCCACCTCGGGCTAAGGGCATCTCGCTGCCTCCCTGTATGCAGCGCCACAGAAGCAATGAGGAGGGGAGGGAGAGTGGAGAGGAGGCCGGTTGTCCCACCGCCTGCTTGGGGGGGTGGGGGGGGAGAGGGAGAGGGCGAGAACAGGGACAGGGGCCGCAGGCCCGGGACTCTGCATGGAGGGGGTGATGTGGGAGGGAGGGAGCTGGGAGCGCTGCCCCCCCACTCCCTGCCCTGGGACTGTCCAGGGGTCCGGCTGGCAGAGGCGGGGCTCTGAGACTGGGGGAGACCTGCCGGCGGGCAGCTGCGCAGCCCCGGCCCTCTGGCTTCCCTTGAGGCGGATCCCTCGCGGCCGGCCGGGCGGACGCAGGCTGCGGCCGCCCAAACGCAGAACAGCTGGGACCAGCCCCGCCCGGCTCGGGCTCGGCCTCGAGGGCCCATTTCCCCATCACCCGGCGCCCGCCCAGCGCAGGGAGTCAGAGGGAGCCGCAGTGCGGGGAAGCACAGGCACCCCAGGAATGAGGCAGGCCCCGACGGGCCGGCACGGGCAGGTGCGCCTCCAGCTCCCTGGAAGCCGCCCTGGCCCTGCCCCCCCCCCGCCCCCCGCCCCCCCACGTCCCTGTTTTAAAATATGTTTGAGGCAAACCCGGGCAGGCAGGAGCCCAGCCGGTCCGGGCCTGTCTGGTTGCCCTGGGGGGAACCTGGGGTTCCACTGGGGTCTCGCTGTCCCTCTGCAGGGGGTTCCCGCGCCCCCTCTCCGCCGCATTCACGGCCGCCGGCCAGCGAGGGGCCGCGGGAGGGAGGGGCCGGCACCGGCCGGGGTGGGCGGGGGTGGGGCGGGCGCCCGTTCTCAGGGGTCACCCCTCGAGCCCGGGCCGACTCCCGGAGGGGAGGTGGTCCCCAGGTCGCAGCGCGGGTTGGGGTGTGGGGCCGGGCGGGCGGGCGGGCGCCCAAGGGCCGCCAGGGGTGCCCGCAGCTGGGGGACAGAGGGCGGCGGGGCGCGCCCGGCCCGGGGCCCGCGGGTGTCCCTCCCGGCGCGCGGCGGGGCCCGAAGGGTTAAGGGCGCCCCGCCCCCGCCCGCCCGCCCGCCGCTCCCGCCCCCTCGGGGCGCGGGGCGCGGGCCCGGGCGGCGGGGCGGGGCCTGGCTCCGCGGGCGGAGCGACCGGCGCCGAGGCTCCGGGCTCCCGGCGCGGCGCCCTGGCCGGCGAGATGGCGCGGGCGCGGGCGCGGTTCCCCCGCGCGGGGGGCGCGCGGCTGCTGCTGGCCGGGCTGGCGCTGCTGGGCGCGGCGCGGGCGGGCGGCGACCGGAGCCTGCACCCGCCCTACTTCAACCTGGCGGAGGGCGCGCGCGTCCGCGCCTCGGCCACCTGCGGCGAGGAGGCCCCGGCGCGCGGCCCCCCGCGCCCCACCGAGGACCTGTACTGCAAGCTGGTGGGCGGGCCCGCGGCCGGCGGCGACCCCAACCAGACCATCCAGGTGCGCCGGGCAGGTGCGCGCGCGGCCCTCGGCGCCCCCTCCCCGCGCCCGGCGCCCGCGGGCCGGGGGGGGCTGGGGGGGGCGCGGCCCGGCCCGGCCCGGCCCGGCCCTGGCGGCCCCGGCCCCGCCGGCCGCGCCGCCTCGGGACGGGCGGGAACCTGCCGGCGGCGGCCGGGCCGGGCCGGGCCGGGCCGGGCGGGGCGGGGCCGGGGCCGGCCGGGCCGGGCCGCCCCGGGGCTCGCAGCGGCCGGCGAGGCTGGAGGCTCCTCCCGGGTCTGGGGCGCCGGCGGCGCGCGGGGCCCCCCGGGGAAGTCCGCGCGGGGACCCCGCCGGCGCCGGCGGGCCGGGCGGGCCGGGGCAGCGGCTCCGCGAGCCCCGGACTCGGTTTCGGTCCCGCGAGCGCCCGCGGCAGCCCCGGGCGGTGCGAGGCCGCTGTAACCTGAGCCGCCGCCTCCGGGGACTCGCCGGCACCTTCCTGGGCGGAGGCGGGGGGAGGGGCGGGGGGCCGGGGCCGCGGGCGGGGGAGGGGCCGCGGGCGGGGGGCCTGGACTCCCCGCCGCACCCCGCTCCCGCCGGCGCTGCCCCCTCCGCTGGGGACCGGCCCAGGAAGGTGCCCGCACCTGCCCAAGCCCGGCAGCCAGGGCACCCCGCAAGTGTTTGGGGGCCCTGGTAGATTCTGGAGGAGCAGCTTGGGGGTTCTCCAGAGCCGTCCCGGAGCACCTGGAGGAGGCCCCCCTCCCTGCCGCACTGCTCAGCCGGCCCCACCCGGGGCGCAGAGGGGCGCCGAGGGCACCCCGGAGCCCCGCCCTCCTCACGGCCACCTCTTGGCCTGGCCCCTGGGGAGCTGCGGCCAGTTCCGCCCCCTCCCAGAGCCTGAAGGCGGCCCCTGGGAGCCCGTGGCCTGGGGTGCAGCCCCCTCTTCTGCCGCCCCTTCGCTGGGCTGAGCCCCAGCTCCGTCCTGTGGATGGGCACGTGAGGGCCTGCCCTCCTGAGGTGCGACCTCGGGCCAGCGCAGCCCGTGGCCTTGCCCCCGAGGCAGCGGCCCTGAGTGAGGCCCAGCCGCCCGCCGGGGTCGCTCAAGAGCAGAAGTGGGTACACTCAGCCGTTAGCACCCCACTTCTGAGGCCGTGGGCAGCGGAGAGACCGGCTGGCCAGCCGACACAGCAGAACAGCGCATGACTCGTGGGGTCCCTGCACCCGTGGCGCTGGCATAGGAGCTGCCCGGGGTGGGGGGGAGGTGGGCCCCAACGTCTCTGTCGCAAGAGCCCAGTGCCCGCATGGGGGGGCCGTGAGACACGGGCACGAGGGCGAGGGGGGACAGAAGCCAGCCCATCCCGTCCACTGGGCAACACAGGAGGAATTCCGGGCTGGCGGGCGCTGGCGGGCTGCAGGGGAAGTGGGGGGCTCAGCTGCCACCCGTGACTCATGGGAGGGAAGTGCTCATCATGCCCCCACCCTCCTCTGCCCGTGGCCCCCAGGCAGCCTTGGCGCCTGCTCCCCCAGCCCATCCCCGTGAGCCAGAGAGGACAGAGGCATGGGGGGGACACCCTCTGCCCGGGGGCTCCTCTGTGTTGCCTCTCCCTGAGTTGGGGGACCTGAGCAGAGGCTTCCCTGGGCCCCTTGGACCAGCCCTGTGCTGCTCGGTCCTGGGAGGGGCCTGACCACAGCGGCCTCTCTGGAGGGCCCACCGGCACCGGGCCCCCGGGCCTGACGGTGCTCCCCGCGCGCGTGCGCCTTGGTGCTCGGGACCCTCTGGGCGCCTGCAGGTTGGGGGAGCCCCGCTTCATTTGAGATCGCCCCTGAGCTGGGCGGTACCGCCTGACAGGTCACTTGTCTGGGTGGCTCTTGCTCCAACCCCCGGCATGGCTGCCCCGGACGCGGTCAGACAGGTAGGGCCCTCCATGCGGCTCTGGCCCCTGGAGGCCGCCTGGAGAATCACCAGTGGCCAGACAAGACAGCTCAGGTCTCCCGGGACCCACACGGGGCCAGCTCTGCCTCTCGGGCCAGCCCACGGGGCCTGCTGGGGAGGGGACACCACCCGAGCGTGAGGGCAGGTCAGCTCAGCTCGGCTCCGGCTCCGCCGCCTCTGGCCCTTCCCTCCAGCACACAAGGAAGGTGATGTGGCCAGGTGGGGGGCAGGGGCTCCCTCACACTCCAGCTTGGGGCAGGGCGGGGCGGGGCCAACTTTCCCAGAGGCCTCTCCAGGACCCCAGGGTGCCTCTGTGGGCCGCAGCCTCGCCTTCTCGGGGTGGGAAAGGGTGCGCTGCTCGGCCAGCGGCCAGGCCCAGCTCTGCTCCCCCCACCCCAGGCTGCCAGCACCTGCTCCTCCCCCGCGGGGCAGCCAGCCATGCCTCTGTCCCCCAAGGGGCCGGCCCCAGGCAGGTGGCTGGACCAGGGCAGAGGCAGCTGCCCGGTCCCACATGAGACCCGCTAATCCCGCTCGGCCCAGGCAGGTGCCCGTGTCCCTGCTCCTAGCGTGGGGACGCTGAGGCGGCCTGAGGCTCAGCAGCCGCCGTGACTTGGCCTGATCCCAGGGCTCGGGAGCGGCAGAGCCGGGAGGCCTGGACCTCACCTGCCAGCGCCCCCGGCCTCCACTCCGGGCTGGTCCTGGGCCTGAGTCTGCCTCTGGAGCCTCTAACTTGTGACAGCCTGGGGGGCGGGGCTGCGGGGGGTGGGCTGGGGGGCAGGGGCCGGCTGTCCTGGTCCCCTCTGGCTGAGCCCCCCAGCCCTCCCAAAGCCCCCCACTTGCCATCCACGGGCCCCTTGTCCCCTGAGCCCGGCCACGTGAGCCCAGCTGCCTTCCCCTTGGCTCCTGTCGCCTTGCACAGGCGGCCTCTGCCTGCACGCCCTTGCAGGGCAGGCCCCGGGCGCCCCCTCCTCAGAGCGCCCTCCCGATCGCTCCCCCAGGAGCTTCCGCTTCCTCCACCGCTGGGGCCACGGCCGAGCGGGGACTGCATTGGGGCGCACTCCATGTCTGTTGAGAGGACGGAGTCTGCGGGTGGAGCGGGAGGGCGGCGGGGGCCTTGGGACCCGGCCGTGGCGTGGCACTGACCGCCCCTCCCCCACAGGGCCAGTACTGCGACATCTGCACGGCCGCGAGTGGCACCCGGGCCCACCCGGTGAGCAATGCGGTGGACGGCACGGAGCGCTGGTGGCAGAGCCCCCCGCTGTCCCGCGGCCTGGAGTACAATGAGGTCAACGTCACCCTGGACCTGGGCCAGGTACGTCCCCGCGTGCCCCGTCCGGCTCTGGGTCCTGGGCTGAGGGCCGCTCCAACCAGTTGCAGGCTGGGGGCTGGCGCAGCGGAGGGGGTGGGGTGGGGGGGTGGGGGCACGGCAGCTGGGGACCTTCTGCTTCTCCTGGGGGGGGGTTGGGGGGGCTGGGGGGAGTCCTGGTGTTTACCCTGAGGAATTCCTCTGCGGGGGCCTGCGGGAGGGGCCTGGAATGTGGAGGAGGCCTGGCGAGTGGACATTCCTGGGATACCTGTGCTGCGGGCCAGGCTCAGGTGCGCCACCCAGCCCGGCAGGCCTTCCGGGTCAGGGCTGGCCAGGGTGGGCCCGTCCTCCTCTAGCCCCTTTCGCTCCCGTGCATGCCGGTGGCGTTGGCCTTGGCCCTTTGGCCGATGAGGTGGGCCGCGACCCTCCTCCTGGGCCTGGCCTGGGCAGGCAGGGAGCCCAGCAGCAGCCTTGGCCTGTCTGGGAGCCTCCACCCCCGCTCATGGCCCGGGCGCGGGAGAGGTGGGTGGGCATCCCCAGATCCTGGCCCCACGGCGTCCAGGGTCCACCCTCCCGCCCGCCCGGAGACTGCAGGCGGGTCCAGTGGTAGTGGCCAGGGATGTGGAGAGGGCTTGACTCCTGGCTGGGGCTGGAATTTCGAGGGGGCAGTGGATGAGCTGTCAGGGAGAAGCCACCTGAGCGCCCCATCCCCAGCAGCCCTTGGGACCCCGGAGCCCCTCTGTCTGGGGCCAGCATGGTGGCCTTGGGAGGACAGGTGTAGCAGCAGGGCTTCCTCCGAGGCAGCAGTGCCCCGCCCCCACCCCCAGCACCCGCCTGTCAGGCAGGCCTGGTCCGCCTGGGGGAGGGGCGAGGGCCCTAGCCAGCACACAATGGCCTGGTCTCCACGGCAACCTCAGAGGGGCAGCAGAGTGGTGGGCATGCTGCCTGCCCTGTGCCCAGTGGGCACAGGAGGGGCCTGGGGATGCTCTGCCCCCCGAGCTCTGTGGCCCCTGAGCCGGGCTGGACCGGGAGGCAGGCAGCGCGCCTGCTCCATGGCTGTTTCCGGCGGGGTGCCGCCCGTCCGGCTTGTCCGGCCTCAGTTTCCCCAGTTCCAGAATGACTGGGACAGACTGACCCCCCCCCCGCCATTCACCTCCCTCCCTGCCTTTCCTGTCTCTCTCCCCCACCCTTAGCCACCGCCTGCCCATCTACGATGCCCCCCTTCGTGGCCTGCAGATGAACCCACCGAGGCTCCTGGGGAGCGGGGGTGTGCGGAGCCTGCCCGGCAGGGTGTTGGGGCCGGGTGGGGTGGGCAGACACGGGTGGGGGTATTTCTCGAGCCGCTGGACTTTCCCACGTTGGCCCTTCCCGCTAAGCCCCGAGCGAGCGGAGGCGGGCCTGGGGCCTGCTGGCTGGGGTCGGGGATGAACCTGCCAGAGATGCCCGACCAGGCCAAGAGGGGCCTCGCCTGGGTCGGAGGGCAGCTCTGCGGAGGGGAGGTGGACAGACCTGGCCCGGGCGGTGGCCTGGAGGGTCACCTGGGCTGTGTCTGGCCTTTGCTGTGACTCCGGGGCCTGTGCCCACAGGCCCCCCAGGTCTGGTGAGGGAGCAGGCTGAGCCGCGGCCCTGCAGAGCTGCCAGCAGCTCCCTGGAGGGCAGGTGTGTGGGAGTGCCCGGCGGTCAGCACCAAGTCAGCACGGCTCTGGGCCAGCCCTGAGGGGTCTCTCCGCTTTGGGGCTGGACAGTCCCAGCTGGGGCCCGGGCCTTGGGCAGGAAGCAGGAGCGGGCGGTGGGGGCGGGGCCTGGGCACTCCCCGGGCTTTTGTTCTGGGATCTGGGGCGGATGCCCAGGGCTGGGTGGGGGTGCTGGCACGGGAGGCCATCCTGCCCGGGAGCAACTGCCTGTGGGGGTCCTGCACCTTCTCTCTGAGGGGTGCCTCAGGCTGCTGTCTCCCCACCCAGGGCGGGCCATGGGCCCTCGTCTCGTCTCTTGTCTTGTAGGGGAGGAAGCGCGGGCCCAGCAGCGCGGCCTGGCTGGAGGGCATGGGCGGCCTCGGCTCCGGCCCTGCGTCCACAGGCCCCGCGGCGGGGTTGAACCTCGCCGGGTGCCGGCCGCTGTGGCCCTCCCCAGGGCGGGAAGGCTCCGTGGCTGGTGAGGGCGGGTGCCCCTGGGTCCCTCTGCCCTCACCCCCTGGCCTGGTTGTTAAAGGGGCGCAGCCCGTGTTGCACCCATCCTGCCCTGTGGCCTTGGGATGGGCTGGGCGTACCCCCTGTGCCCGGCTGTGAGCGAGGGGCTCTCCCCAGCCACACGCACGCCTGCCTGGCTGGGTGGAGGCGGCACGGGCGGGCCCCTGGGCCTCTGGGGCCATCACCCCCCCATAAGGGCGAGGGGCCCGACACAGGGTGTGCACGGTCAGGACCCCACCCAGGCCAGTCCTTGGGCTGGCCTGCTGGCCTCCCTGGCAGCCGCCTGGTCCTGCGTGCCCGCTGGCCGCTCTCAAGCCGGGCCGGGCACTCGGCCATGTGGCCGGCGCCCCAGGAGGGTCAGCGGTCGTCGGAGGGAAGCAGCAGGAAGTGTGGCAGGGCTGGCCGGCTCTGGTTACGGAGCGAGGGACAGGTGCAGGGGTGGGGCCGGACGTGGCCCTCTTGGGGGCTCTGGGCCGAGGGGGTCCTGGTGGCCCTGCAGCCGGCACGCCCTCCCCCACCAGGCCCCTCTCCCCCAGGATGGGGCCCACGTCGCAGCGGTGGCTGCCGGACGCCTCCCCTCCTCGCTGGCTCCGCGCAGACACGCCCCACCGCCTCGCACTGGGCCCGGCTGCGGGTTGCCCCCAGATGCTCCTGTTTGCATCTGTTTGTACACAAACCCCCAGCACCGGCCCCCAGCACGCTGCGCACTGGAGACTAAATTGTTTGGGTCTCCGGGTCCCTGGGGTAAACTCCACTTCCTGTGGCTGACCATCTGGCTGACCTGGCCAGGCGGGGGCCCAGGACGGCCCTTGGGGTAGTCTCTGACTCCCCCACCCAGTGCCCCTGCGGGGCTTGGAGCCTCCGGCTAGGGCCCTGCCCCCCTCCCTGCTCTGGCCTCTGCAGTCCCCGCGGGGAGCCCCGGCGAGGCTGTCAGATGTCGGTGCTGGGGGGCACGGCGCGGGAGGGCAGGTGGCTTCGGCACTCAGGGCCCAGAGGCCAGCCCAGGAGCTAGGGGCGGGGATCCGGGAGGTCGGGCGCCCCAGTGCCAGCTCCGAGGGGATGGGTCAGGCGCTGGCCTGGAAGCTGGTGCAGGAAGGGCTTCCTGCCTCGGCCCCGGCGGGGACCCGGTCTGTCCTGGGGAACTGGCACCGGGCCTGGCTTCCTGTAGGGCCTGGCTGAGTCACCGACTGCCATGGCAACGCCCCGGAGGTGGGGGCGGCCTGACCCTGGCCCTGCGGTCCAGCCGCAGCCTCCCCTGGGTGACGTGCTGCCAAGTCCAGGTGGCCACCGGCCACTGGCAGCGCCCAGTCCCTCTTTGCCCAGGGCTGGGGGACCCCTGGGGTTCACAGTGCCGTGTTCTCTCTCTGACCCTCCTGTGCCACCCAGACCACAGCCCCGACCCGCCGCCCGCACCTCTGCCCTGGACGATGTGTGTCCCTGCAGGTGGCCACGGCCTGCTCCCCGAGGGTCCTCCCGCCGCCTGGCCCCCGCGAGGGCCGAGGCCACCAGGGGCCGCGCTCACCACCCCCACGCCGTGCCCGGCTGTGGCCCCAGCAGACCCCCGCGGGAGCCCTGGCCCTGCGGGCGGGCGGGGGTGGGGCGCTGCTGTCCTGGAGACGTGCCTGCCCCGAAATAGCCAGATTTTTAAAAATAACTCAGGAGGCTTTTGTTTGGCTTTTGCTTTAAAAGACGTTTTTTTCTTCTGCCCGGAGCCGCGCGGCCGCGGGAAAGGTCAGCGGCGTTGGCACGTCCACTGCTGGCCGGCAGCGCTGTGGCTCCAGAGCCGCCGCCAGACCCGGGGCGCGGGGCAAAGCCAGGCGGGCTGGCCTTTTGGGCAGGCCCGGGCAGGGGCAGGGTCCCCGCCACGTCCTCCGCTCGGTGTCAGTGTCTGTGCTGCCTCCGGGGGGTGCGGGGGCACAGCTCCCCCTCAGGGAAATGCGGGGGCGGCCCAGAGGGCTGGGCACTGTAACCTCCGGGGCCTTCTATGGGGTCCTGCTGCCCGCCCCTGGAGCAGACCCCCCAGCAGTTCAGTCCTGTCTCCCGTGCCCAGCCCCCCCCAACCCCCACGCAGGGCCGGGGTCCCCGGGGGGCTCCTGGAACGCTCAGGGCTGGCAGCAGGCCGCTCTGGGTGCGGGGCTGGTCCCCCAGAGGCTCGGACCTCTCCCCCGTGGGTGGGACGGAGCGGAGGATGACCTCAGAGCCTGGCAGCCGCACATAGGCCTGCTCCCCCGCTCTCGGAGAGGCAGCGCGTCCCACGTGGGCCTGCTTCCGCGTGCTGGCCGTCAGGAAGGGCAGGACGCAGAGCGGGCGTGTCTTGGGGCTCTCAGACCTTCCCCCCACCCTTCTTAGCAGCCGGCACCTCCGGGGGCCCAGGGTCCATGGTGGTCTCCAGGAGGGTCAGGGTGACTGGACTCTGGCCGTCCTGGGGACCCCCGCTGTGCCCCAGGAGCCCCTAGGCTCTGGGGTGGACAGGCCGGCTGGCCCAGTGGGGGCCAAGCAACAGATGGCTGACCTGCGCCCCCGGCGGGCAGGGGCGGGGCCGGGAGCCAGTGGCCAGGGTGTGCTGGGACCCGCAAGGGCGTGGGCAGGTGCAGGTCCAGCTGGGGGTGCCGCAGACCCCTCCCCAGTGCCCATGTGGAGTGTCCACAGCGCCCCCACTGTCTGTTTGGCTGCCCCGCAGGTGTGTGTGCCTGTGGGGTATGGAGACTGCTTGAGGGTCCCCCTCTGGGGCTCTGGAGCCCCACCTTGTCCTTAGGAGTCCCCAGCTGGCAGGTGCTCTGCCCAAGCCACGCGTCCCTGGCAGCTCCAGAGCCCTCTCCTGGGGGCCCTGGCTCTGGGGCCTCTCCTCGTGCACCACCCCACAAGCTGGAGAGGGGCACGTTTGGCCCCCAAGGCACAGCTGCACGGCCCTTCCAGTCTCCCCGGCAGCTGCTACTGGGGGGCTGGTGCCGTGAGCTCTGGCTGAGGCTGGTATGGGCGGTGCAGCTGGGGGGACTTCCCTGAGGAGGTGTCTGAGGTGCTGTGGGGGCTGTGTCAGGTGGGGCTCCGTCGGTGAGCCCAGGGGTGCAGGGCACAGGGACGCCCAGCATGCTGACCTCTGGCCAGGGAATCAGGCGGGAGGGACGGGCATCTCCTCGGGAGCGAGGCCAAGACCCAGGCGGGAGCTGGGGAGATGGGCCTGGTGGGGGGAGAAAACCACTCACTTTAGGGGCAGCCTCCCCGATGCAGCCCCGGGGGACCCCAGTGCAGCTTCTGAGCTGGGGTCTCCCCGGAAGCTGGGCTCTCCTTGAGGCCTCTGGTTGCGGGTGAGGCTGGGCTGCAGTGGCTCTGCGGCGCCCTCCCGGGGGCGCCAGGGCCATGGACTGGCCAGCAGGCGAAAGGGATGGGCCCTGGGTTGGCTGAGAATGATGGGAGTGACCGGGGTGAGCTGGGACAAGGGCCCTGCCCAGGAGGGGTTCCCAGCACCCGGCAACCAGGCTCGTGGGAGCTGTGGGCAGCTCGGCCACCTGCACAGGCCCCGCGGCTCTGGGGCCTGTCTTTGCCGCTGCCTGCGCCTCCGGGCTCCTGCCCCCCTGGGCCAGTCTGCAGCTCAGCGCAAGACAGCATGGCTCTGAGCAGGGGAGGGGACAGTTCTGGGCCCTGAGCCCCAGGCCCCCCAGGCCCAGGAGGGGAGCCCCATGGGCCTTAGCAGCCTCGCAGGCAAAGCCCCAGTGGGCACTGGGGAGAAGCAGCTGCGGAGCGGGGAGCCTGCGGGCAGCCAGGGAGGACTCACGCGTTCTGCCCCCAGGTGTTCCACGTGGCCTACGTGCTCATCAAGTTCGCCAACTCCCCCCGGCCAGACCTCTGGGTGCTGGAACGCTCCACGGACTTCGGCCACACCTACCAGCCCTGGCAGTTCTTCGCCTGTGAGTCCCGGAGCCGTCCTGGCGGGCTTGGCCATGGTGGCCGCCACATTCCCGCCTGGCTCTGCTGCGGGCCTGCCCCCCGGGCCTCTGGGGCCAGAAACGGGAGCGCGTCCCCGCAGGCCTGGGGTCGCCCGTGCCCTGGCTTCTCTGGGCTGGTGGCCGCGGAGGGTCCGGCAGCCCCTTTGGCGCCCACACTGGCCGGCCGGCGTGGCCATGCCCCCAACCAGCCGTGCGGGGGGCGCTCAGATGGGCAGGCCCTGGACACATGCCGTCCAGCTCCGTGGGCGGGGGGGCCGGGGGGAGCGGTGCTGCCGAGCAGACTGCCGGGCGGAGGCGGACCCCCGACCCCTGGCCTGGGGAGCCGAGATCGCCCTCGGGCCGGGGCTGGGCCGAGAAGCGTCTGCCGCCTGCGCCCTGACGCCCGGCGCCCCGCAGCCTCCAGGAGGGACTGCCTCGAGCGCTTCGGGCCGCGCACGATGGCGCGCATCGCGAGGGACGACGACGTCATCTGCAGCACCGAGTACTCGCGCATCGTGCCCCTGGAGAACGGGGAGGTGCGCTGCGGCGGGCGGGCGGGGCCTGGGGGCCGGGGGCGCCTGGCTGGGCCCTCGGCTGGCCTGACGGTGCCCATCTGCCAGATCGTGGTGTCCCTGGTCAACGGGCGCCCGGGGGCCGCGAACTTCTCCTACTCGCCGCTGCTGCGCGACTTCACCAAGGCCACCAACATCCGCCTGCGCTTCCTGCGCACCAACACGCTGCTGGGCCACCTCATGGGCAAGGCGCTGCGGGACCCCACGGTCACCCGCAGGGTGAGTGCGCGGGCGGGGCCGGGGCCGGGGCGCGGGGGGCGGGGCGGGCGGCCACGCTGACCCCCCCTGCAGTACTATTACAGCATCAAGGACATCAGCATCGGCGGCCGCTGCGTCTGCCACGGCCACGCGGATGTCTGTGACGCCAAGGACCCCGCAGACCCCTTCCGGTGAGCCTGCCACTCTGGGCCCTGTCTCCGCCCCGTGCCTCAGTTTCCCCCGCGTGCACAGTGAGGTGGAGGGGCAGTGCCACAGGCAGCCTCCCGGGGCGCCCTGTGTCTGGCTCAGGCACTGTGCTGCCTGCCCGGGCGGGGTCTTATCCCGCCCCCGTGGGGGTTCCTGGGAGGGAAGCCAAGGAGAGGGGCCGTCGGCCCCCGGGGGCAGGTGCAGCCCTCCAGGACACAGTGACACTGCGGGCCCCCTGCCCCCCGCTTTCGCCCAAGACCCTGTCTGATGTGGCCTGTGCTCACACCGGGGCAGCGAGCTCCCAGGCCCAGCCAGTTCGCCGCTGGGCACCCAGGTTGGCTGGCCCAGCTGCTGGTGCCCGCTGTGAGCCTGTGCCCAGCGTGGGTCAGGGCCTGAGCCCCCAAGGGCCCCGGGGCCAGTGAGGGTTCTGAACCCCCACTGCCGGGCACCCTTCCCTGGCCTCGTGGTGCCCCTTCTGCTGCGTGTGAGGTCCACGTCCGCACTGATTGTGGCGGGGCGGAGGCGGCTCTTCCCCCTCATCATCAAAGCCGCCCTGGGAGGGAACCCCAGACCTCTCCAGATGGGGACACGGTCTGAAGAGAGGAGGGGTCCGCGCCACAGCGCCCCGGGGCCCAGCCCCCGCCAGCCCAGAGCGTGCCCAACCCTCGCTGCGCGCACGGCTCCCGCCGGCTCAGGAACCGCGAACTGCTCTGGGAAATCAAGTGCCAAGAGGGAGTGTGTGGCGCTGGGCGGGGTGCCCGCCAGCGGCCGGGTTGGCCTTGGGGAGAGGCTGGCGCGCCCAGGCATGTGTGACCGGGCCCTCACCTGGCTCCCTGCGCCTGGGCGTGGACTGACAGGCTCACCCCTTGGGGCGTCCCAGCGCCTCCCCAGAACCAAAGCCGCCATACAGCGTGTCCCCAGGCAGCGGCCCCATGTTTCCTGAGCCCACTGCCTACACCTCTGCTGCCCGGCCCCGCGGGCCCCCAGCGCCCGGCCGGCCAGCCCCTGCCATCCCTGCGTGCTCTCTCTCGTCCGGCTCGGCCAAGCCCCTTCCCGGGCTTGTGGGCCGCCTCGTCTCTGCCGGTGTCCCGTCGGTGTCTTAGGCTGTCGGCACTGAGCCCTGGATGGCCGCGCTGGCCGCGCCCAGTCACCTGCACGCTGTGCTGGCTCCTCGGTGTGGGGTTGTCAGACATTTGCGGCCCAGAGCAGGGGACGGGAGGCCTGTCATGGCCGGTCGTCCAGTCCGCTCTCCACGGGGGCCCTCCAGCCGCCCGGGGTCTGAGGGGACGGCCTGGTGGCTGGCAGCCGGGCGACATGGCTCCTGGTGCGGCAGCCGGGCACTGGCCCGGGACGGAGGGCCCCGCTGGGCTGCGCTGTGACCCCCGCCCCCCCCCTAGGCCGGAGCGGGGGCGGGGCCCTGGCAGGTGTTCTGAGCGGTGGTGGCTGCGCCTCAGCCTTCACTGGTGCCAGCTGTCCCCCTGCCCGCCGAGCCAACGGGAGCTGCTGTCCAGGACAGCAGGCGGGGCGCCAGCCTCCACGGTGTCCACCCCTGGCAGGAGGAGGAAATGGTCTTGGCCTCTTGCCCCTTGGGAAGCACCCTGGACACACAGGGTATCTGGCTGGGCTCAGGGCCGTGTGCTGGGCGAGCCCGGCCTCGGGGTAGGCTGGGAGTGGGGCTTGGCCTGCATGCTGGCCACCCTGAGGCCCTGGGGCTCTGGGCCAGCCCCCTATGCCCGGCACCCCGTGGGTCTGAGCCCACTCTGCCCGCAGGCTGCAGTGCGCCTGCCAGCACAACACGTGCGGGGGCTCCTGCGACCGGTGCTGCCCCGGCTTCAACCAGCAGCCCTGGCGGCCGGCCACCGCCGACAGTGCCAACGAGTGCCAGCGTGAGTGCCCGCCACGCGCGTCCCTGCGCACACACTGTGCATGCTCACCCACTCCCCGCACACACCTGCACGTTGCATGCTGGTCCGCTTCCGTGCATACGGGCACATGCGCGTGCACACAAACATGCTTACCCACGGTGCACACAGGGGCACGTGTTCACACACACGTACACGTGTGCACATGCGGGCAGCGCCTCCCTCCCAGGGCAGGCCTCACCTGGGGTCCCAGTGGTTTGTGGGGGGGCCTGGAGGGGCTCCTGACAGCTGAGCCCCCGCAGCCTGCAACTGCCACGGCCACGCGCACGACTGCTACTACGACCCCGAGGTGGCCCGCCAGGGCACCAGCCGCAACCGTGACCACGTCTTCAGGGGCGGCGGCGTGTGCATCGATTGCCAGGTAGGCGGGCCCGGCCCGGCGTGTGGTGGGCGGCTGTGGGGGGCTGGGGGGCCCGGACTCAGCAGCCCTGCACCCCCAGCACCACACCACTGGCGTCAACTGTGAGCGCTGCCTGCCCGGCTTCTACCGGGACCCGGACCACCCCTGCACTCACCCCACGCCTGCCGCCGTGAGTGGGGGGCGCCCTCAGCAGGGTGTCGCGGGGGCAGGGCCTGCCCCAGGGGTCTCCTGCTCAGGGGGTGTGGGGCCGGGCCCTCGCCTCTCCCGGGTGGCCTGGCTCTCAGCGCGTTGCCCTCCCCTGGGGCCCCGTGGCTCTGGGCTTGGGGGTCCCCTGACCTCCCACCCTCTGCCCAGGCTGCAGCTGTGAGTCCAACTTCACAGACGGGACGTGTGAGGACCTGACCGGACGCTGCTACTGCCGCCCCAACTTCACGGGGGAGCGGTGCGACGCGTGTGCCGAGGGCTTCGCCGGCTTCCCCCACTGCCTCCGTGAGCGGGGCAGGGCGGGGTCGGGTCTGGGGCGGGGGGGGGGGGCCAGGGCGGGGTCTGGGGCGGGGCCCCTAGCGGAGCCCCAGACTGACTCCTGCTTCCCCCACAGCGGTGTCCTCGGTCTCCCCCGACGACACCGGCGAGCAGGTGCTGCCTGCAGGACAGATCGTGAGTGAGTATCTCCAGGCCCCGACCCTGCGGGCGGTGGGGCAGGGCATGAGGACCCCCTGGGAGGGTTCTTTGGTCGCCTCGATTTGGGTTCTTCCCTGCAAGTAACAGCCACAGCAAACCTTCAAAGGCATGGGTGGCAGGCAGGCGTAAGGCCGCAGAGAGGAGTGGCCAGACGCCCCTTCCCGCCGCCTGGCCGCTGGGTGCGCGGCCCTCGGTGGGCGCACGTGTGGGCTGTGTGGTCACCTGGTGCGCGTGAACCGTCGTCGTGCCCAGTCCTGACGGACGCCGCTCTTGTCCCGCCCACCCCACTGCTGGCGTCCAGGCCTCCCGCAGCGCGGAGAGACCATTACAACGACCGCCCCACCGCGGCCCCCCTCTCGCCGCGGTTCCAGGGTGCTGATCTCCGCGTTGAGGGACATTTTGGCCTTGGGCTGCCAGTCGCCCCCGGGATAGAAAGTGGGTGGCCATCATGAGCCACAAGCAGCGTGGACATGGCTGGCCAGGTGGCCACTGTCAGGGCTGAGCCCTGCCCCGCAGGCCCTTCCCAGTGTCCGGGCTGGGGGCGCGCTGCCCCGCACTGCAGGTGGGAGTGGCCGGGGGTGGCGGTCAGGTGGCTGCACTCCCGTGTCCTGGGCTGCGTCTCTGGGTCCTCACCAGCCCACGGGGCTTTGCTCCCTCCTGGCCCACGCCTCCCGTGTGGTTGCGGGCATCTGCCTGCTCCCCTGGGCTCCCCGCGACTGTGCTCTGTGCCTGGGGCTCTTCTTGGGCCGGCGTTTGTTTTTTGAAAGACTATTTATGCACGCAAGAACTGGGGTGCAGGCCAGAAGTAGGGGGGTGAGAGGACTCCCCAGAGACAGAGTGGGGAGCAGGACAGGTGGATCCACTGAGACACACTGCTGGGGTTGCAGACCAGAGGGGTCTGCTGCACTGTGTGGGTCACTCCCTGGCCGGGGATGGAACTCGTGCTGCAGTGGCTGTGGACACTTCATGGTGCCAATGCTTAAGCCCTTGTGCCCCCGGGAGGCCCCTTATGCGGGCCTTGGTCACCTGCTGCCCTGGGGAACAGTCCCGAAACCCAGCTACCCCGTCCGCTGGCTCCCCGACAGCTTCCTTTTTGGCTCTGGCACGTTTACCTTTTCATGGGTGCCGTAAACCAGGGGTCGGCAACCTTTCCTGAAACGGCCAGATGGCAGGTGTCCTGGACCTGAGGGCCAGCCAGCCCCGGCGGCTCCACTGTAGCTCGGGCGGCCGGGGCCGGGTGTCGATGACCGCCTGGCCGTGCCCCACGAAGACTTTACAAACAGGCGGAGGAGCCGGGACGGGCGTCTGCTGGGCCCTGGTGTCAGGTCCTGGGGCCCCTGCCCGCGTGGTGGCGCCGGCTGGAGCCCTTCTGGGGGGCACCGTCTTGTTTCGGTTTTGTCGCCCGCCTGGTGAAGTACCCGGGGAAGGAGCCTTCCTTCCTTGCGCTCCGGATCAATTTGAAAGTCCCGGGAAGCCTCTCGTTCCTTGGCAGTTTCCTAGAACGAACTTAGGAACATCACCGCGTCCTCGTGGCCGCTGTCGAGAGGCGTCCGGCGTGGAGGGCGCCTCCCCGGGCCTGCGGTGGCGGCGCCTGTCGGTTTTCATCTCAGCTTGCCCCGGTGGTGGTGGTTTATATTTTCTCAGCAAATTTTTGACTTACTTTGGGTTTTACACGCTTTGGCGTGAAGCTGCAGGCCGCGTTCTCCTGGGACGTAAAGCGCCTGCATCTCACTGTGGCCCGGTTTTCTGGAGCCCCTGTGTTTCCTTCTTGGGCACTTTTTACCTTTTATTTATTTATTTTTTTAAAAGATTTATTTATTTATGCACACAAGAGCCGGGGTACAGGCCAGAAATGCTGGGGGTGAGAGGCTTCACCAGAGACAGAGTGGGGAGCAGAACAGGCAGACTGACGAAATCCGCTGCTGAGGGGAGCAGCGGGCGGCAGGAGAGGTCTGCGCGCCATGTGGGCAGCTCCCTGGCCGGGGATCCAACTCGTGCTGCAGAGGCTGCGGACAGCTTCATAGCGCGGTGCTTAAGCCCTTAAGCCAGCAGGGAGGCCCGCATTTTATCTTTCAGATTGGTGCGAGTGTGCTGTCCCGGGAGCGGGCGTGTGTCTGCAGAGGGCGGTTTTCCCGGGAGGGCTGGGTCTGCTGGCCTCTCAGATGTCCCCTCCCGCCACCCCCAGGCTGTGACTGCAGTGCCGCGGGGACCCAGGGCAACGCCTGCCGCAAGGACCCGCGGGTGGGGCGCTGCGTGTGCAAACCCAACTTCCAGGGCGCCCACTGCGAGCTCTGCGCCCCTGGCTTCTACGGCCCCGGCTGCCAGCGTGAGTCCAGCCCCGCCGCCCGCCCGCGCTGACCCCGGGGCCTGCCCCTCACCGTGTGGCCCCTCCCGCAGCTTGCCAGTGCTCCAGCCCCGGTGTGGCGGACGGCGCCTGCGACCCCGACTCGGGTCAGTGCACCTGCCGGGCGGGCTTCGAAGGAGCCGCGTGTGACCGCTGCGCGCCCGGCTACTTCCACTTCCCTCTCTGCCAGCGTGAGTGGGGCTCCCCGTGGGCACGGGCGAGGGGGCGGCCACCTGCCCAGCTCAGGCCCCGCCTACCCCTGCCCCGCAGTGTGTGGGTGCAGCCCCACCGGGACCCTGCCCGAGGGCTGCGACGAGGCGGGCCGCTGCCACTGCCGGCCCGAGTTCCAAGGCTCCCGCTGCGACCGCTGCCGGCCCGGCCACCACGGCTACCCCGACTGCCACGGTGAGCAGAGGCCGGCGGGGGGTGTGGGGGGAGCGGGCCGCGGGGCCGGCCTGACCCCGTGTCCCTGCAGCCTGCGCCTGTGACCCCCGGGGCGCGCTGGACCAGCTCTGCGGCGCGGGTGGGGTGTGTCGCTGCCGCCCCGGCTTCGCGGGCCCCGCCTGCCAGGAGTGCAGCCCCGACCACCACGGCTTCCCTGACTGTGCCCGTGAGTGCCGCCCGGCGGGAGGGGGGTGCGCCCGAGCAGACGCCCCGCCCGAGCCCACACCCGCCCTCCCCACAGCCTGCCGCTGCTCCCCCGAGGGCTCCCTGCACACGGCCTGTGACCCCCGCAGCGGCCAGTGCAGCTGCCGGCCGCGTGTGACCGGGCTGCGGTGCGACGCATGCGTGCCGGGCGCCTACGACTTCCCGACCTGCGAGGGTGAGGCGGGCGCTGCTGTGCGAGCGTCCCGGGGCCGGGTGGGTGGGCGGGCGCGGGCGTGTGCCCGCTGAGCCTGAGGGACGTGGCAGCTGGGGACACTCACGAGGAGTGACGTGGCTTGGGTGTTTCCCCACAGCTGGCTCCTGCCACCCCGCTGGCCTGGCTCCCACCGACCCTGCCCTGCCCGAGGTGAGCCCAGATTGCGCACGGGGGCCCTGGCTTTCCCTGCCGCCCGTGTCCTGGCCATCACGGCGGTGTCCCCAGCCCCGTCCCCACTCTGGGGCAGGGAATTTGGGCCGGGCCCTCTCTGACCGCAGCCCCCCTGCAGGCGCAGGCCCCCTGCGTGTGCCGGGCTCACGTGCACGGGCCCAGCTGTGACCGCTGTAAGCCGGGCTTCTGGGGCCTGAGCTCCAGCAACCCTGAGGGCTGCTCACGTAAGTGTGTCTTCGCGGGGCAGGCGGGGGGGGGGGTGCCCTGGGCCCAGACCCTCAGGCCCACTCTGCGCCCGCCCCCAGGCTGCAGCTGTGACCCCAGGGGCACGCTGGGTGGAGCTGCCCATTGCCAGCCGGTGAGTCCAGGGCTGGGTGTTGGGAGCTGGGCAGCCCTCGGGCTCCCCTGCCTAGTCCCACCTCTTCCTTCCACCCAGGCCAGCGGCCAGTGCTTCTGCAAGCCCCACGTGTGTGGCCGGACCTGCGCGGCCTGCAAGGACAGTTTTTTCGGGCTGGACCAGGCCGACTACTTTGGCTGCCGCAGTGAGTGCCCAGCTCAGGCCCGCGGGGTGGGTGTTGGAGGCCAGGGCGCGGCTCTCGTGGAGCAATTTGGGCTGCCTGGCCAACCCTTGCGGGCGGTGGTGGGCAGCTCTGCCCTCATCCTGCATGTGGGCAGCATTTCTCAGACCCCCCCAGTGCCCTCACCCCCAGCCTGGACTCAGCCCCGTCAGAGCCCCAGGAGGCTGTGAGGCCAGAGAGGGCCCTGAGCTGTGGGCAGTGTCTGACACCCGCCCCCTCCCCCCCCACCCCCGCAGGCTGCAGGTGTGACGTCGGCGGTGCACTGGGTCAGGGCTGCGAGCCACGGACGGGCGCCTGCCGCTGCCGCCCCAACACCCAGGGCCCCACCTGCAGCGAGTGGGTGTCCCCCTCCGAGGGGCTGTGGGCGGGGCTGTCCACTGGCTGCTCCCCGGAACTCTGGTGGGCGGGCGGTTCAGGGCCGGCCCTGGCTGGTCCAGAGGGGAGGCAGGCTGCTCCTGACCCCTGCCACCGCCAGGCCGGCGCGGGACCACTACCTGCCTGACCTGCACCACCTGCGCCTGGAGCTGGAGGAGACTGCTACACCCCAGGGCCACCCCGTGCGCTTCGGCTTCAACCCCCTGGAGTTTGAGAACTTCAGCTGGCGGGGCTACGCGCAGATGACCCCCATCCAGGTGGGGCAGGGCAGGGCTACGCGCAGATGACCCCTGTCTAGGTGGGGGGGGCCGGCGGGGCGCAGGGCCAGCAGGGGCGGGAGGGGGTCTGATTGCTCCGCTGTACAGCCCAGGATCGTGGCCAGGCTGAACATCACCGCCCCCGACCTGTTCCGGCTGGTCTTCCGCTTCGCCAACCGCGGGCCCACCAGCGTGAGCGGCTGGGTCTCCGTGCGGGAGGACGGCGCGTTTGCCACCTGCACCAACTGTGAGTCACCCGGCGGGCCGTCCCCGAGCGCGCCCCACCTGCTCTCCCCCGGCAGGTGCGGCCCCGGCCGGCCAGCATGGGCCACTGTCTGTGTCTCGCGCAGGCACAGAGCAGAGCCAGCCCATGACCTTCCCGCCCAGCGCGGACCCTGCTTTCGTCACCGTGCCCCAGAGAGGCTTCGGGGAGCCCTTCGTGCTGAACCCAGGGGCCTGGGTCTTGCTCGTGGAGGCCGAGGGGGTGCTCTTGGTGAGTGGGGCCACCTGGTGGGGGGCGGGGCCTGGGCTGCTGGCTGCGGCACTCACCTCCTGGCTTCCCTAGGACTACGTGGTCCTGCTGCCCAGCGCCTACTACGAGGCTGCCCTGTTGCAGCTGCCCGTGACGGAGGCCTGCACCTACCGGCCCACCGCCCAGCGCCCCGGGGAGAAGTGAGGGCTGGCCTGGCTGGTGGGTGGGGGTGGGGGCAGCCCTCTGGCCCCCCCCACCCCTCGCTGACCCCAGCCTCTGTCCCCCGCCCAGCTGCCTCCTCTATACCCACCTGCCCCTGGACGGCTTCCCCTCAGCCTCTGGGCTGGAGGCCTCGTGTCGCTGGGACAACAGCCTCCCTCAGCCCTGCTCCACGGAGCGGCTCAGCCCGGAACACCCGCCTCTGGCCGCGTGCCTCGGCAGTGACGTGCGTGTCCAATCCCCGGGGGGCGGGTGCATGTCGCAGGCAGGACTCGCGGCAGTGGGGCTGTGCGGGGGCCGCTGAGTGCCGCTGCCTTCCTGGGCTTGGCCTCGGGCTCAGATGCCTGGGGCCGCGTCCTCGTGCCCAGCCAGCTGGCGTGGAGGCGGCAGGCGGTGGTGGGCGGGGAGGGCTGGCCGTGAACGGGGGTGGGAGGCCCTGTGGCTGCGGGAGGGGCGGGGAGGGCGCCCTGCGCAGCAGAGGTGGCCATATTCAGGCCTGGGGCGGGGGTCCGGGAGGCCCCGGGGAGCAGGTGGGGCTGTGGGGGTGGGCCCCTGATTGCCCTGCTCCCCAGGTGGATGTCCAGCTGCAGGTGGTGGTGCCACGGCCAGGCCACTATGCCCTGGTGGTGGAGTATGCCAATGAGGATGCCCGCCAGGAGGTGGACATGGCTGTGCATGTGCCCCAGAAGGCCCCCCAGCAGGGGACACTCATCCTCCATCCCTGCCCCTATAGGTGCCTGGGGAGACTCGGGCAGGGTGGGCTGGGGTGAGGGGAGCTCTGCTGCTCCCCACTGACCACACGTTCCCTCCAGCACCCTGTGCCGGGGCACTGCCCTGGACGCCCAGCACCACCTGATGTCCTTCCACCTGGACACAGAGGCCAGTGTCCGGCTCACAGCCGAGCAGGCGCGCTTTTTCCTGGTGAGGCGCTGGGCCACCCCCCTTCATCCAGGACCGCGGGGTGGCTCTGGGGAGAGACTCAAAGCGGGAGGGTGAGATGGGGCACAGGCCCATCCTGGGGCTCCCCCCGTGGGCACACGTGATGAGGAACCGTGCCGTTCCTGGGGCGGCTGCCCTGGGTGCTGGAGGGGCAGAGCTGCGGCCTTGGCCAGGGGCCTCTGGGACATCCTGGGCAGCAGGAGGGTCTGGCGGGGGCGGAGCTGCGGCTCCTCGGTGGGGTGGGTGTGGGGGGTCGGCCTCCACTTGCTCCTCCCAGCGGGAGCGCCAGAGCCAGGCGCCCGCTGCCGTGGTCACCACCTCGGCGCCATGACGGAGCGGGCTCTGGCGGTGCATCCTCGGGGGACTGCTACCGCGCCTCCCCCGGAGCCTCCCCCTCCCTCGGGCGCCCCCCGGGGCGGTCTGGTTTTTTTCACATTTTGAAAGAGAGGAGGGTGAGTGAGCTCGGCCGCCCTGGGGCGCCTGGTGCTGGTTCGTCTGTTCACCCGTTTTGCTCCTTCGCACGTGGAGGTGAAAATATTTTCCTTTCATTTTTGCTTCACATAATCCCCTCAAGTGCCTTCCATTCGCCACAAGCGGCACGGTGTTGTCTCTGGCCGGCTGCCCGGCTGCCCCCTCGCCAGGCCCGGCCCGGCCCGCGCTGCGCAGGGCTCAGACCCCACAGAGCTGCCCCGGGGAAGGGCCCGCGGCCCTGCGCCGTCCAGCCGGCCACACCCGGCCTGCCCCGTGGCCGCCTCTGGCCTGAGGAGGCTGCACCGCGGCCCTCACGCCCCCACCCCCCGCAGCACGGCGTCACCCTGGTCCCCCTGGAGGCCTTCAGCTCCGAGTTCCTGGAACCGCGGGTCCGCTGCATCAGCAGACATGGCACCTTCGGCCCCAGCAGGTAGTGGGTGTGGGGGGCCGGAGGGGCGCCTGGCCGGGACGCAGGACTCACCCCGTGCTCCCCCCAGTGCCGGCTGCCTGCCCTCCCGCTTCCCGAAGCCGCCCCGGCCCATCCTGCTCAGGGACTGCCAGGTGCTGCCCCTGCCGCCCGGCCTCCCGCTGACCCACTCCCAGCAACTCACACCCGGCGAAGCCCCCTCTGGGCCCCAGCCCCGGCCCCCCACCGCTGTGGATCCCGATGTGGAGCCCACCCTGCTGCGCCACCCCCAGGTGCGGGCCCAGGGCGGGCGGGGCGGGCGGGGCGGGGCCAGGCCGGGGGCCTCCTCCAGCTGTCTGCTTGTCGGACGGTCTGGCCCAGGGAGGCTGGGTGCTCTGGCCCCAGCCAGCGGCTCATGGACGCCTCTCCCGCAGGGCACGGTGGTCTTCACCGCACAGGTGCCCGCCCTGGGCCGCTACGCCGTCCTGCTGCATGGCTACCAGCCAGCGCACCCCACCTTCACCGTGGAGGTTTTGGTCAACGGGGGCCGCATCTGGCAGGGTGAGTGTGGGAGCCTGGCCAGGCTGTGGGGCCGGGCGTGGCCGTGGGCCTGACCCTGCCCGCCTCCTCCCCAGGCCACGCCAATGCCAGCTTCTGCCCACATGGCTACGGCTGTCGTACCCTGGTGGTCTGCGAGGGCCAGACGGTCCTGGACGTGACGGACAGCGAGCTGACTGTGACAGTGCGCGTGCCTGAGGGCCGGTGGCTCTGGCTGGTGAGTTCGTGTCTATGTGGACACCCTGGATGCCCCGCATCCCTCACGCTGCTGGCCTCCGTACATCGCCACTCGGCCAGAGTGTGCCCAGTCCATGCCAGGCACCATGTTTCTGCCGCCCTGGCCCCCCACGTGGAGCTCCAGAGGGTGGTCAGGCCCAGATGTGACTGCCTGTCCCCGGGGCCCCTGCTGGTCAGGGTGGCCTTCCTGGAGGAGGCGGGGCCTGGCAGCACGGAGAAGGCCTGCAAAGGCGCGTCGAGCAGGGACAGGGCCCAGGAGGCCGGGCATCACCTCCCCACTCTCCAGCATCCGTTTAGATGCAGAGCCTGGCCACCCTCTGGGCAGCCCGGGTGGGGTCAGCGCCTGCCAGCCTCACCCAACTCAGGCCCAGGTGATGCCGCCACCACTGTCCTAGCTGCCCAGCTGGACCCGTGGCAGAAGCCCCTGGGGATGATGTCCTGCGGTCAGGCTCTGGCCTCAGGCCTCCGCTGGGCCCACGAGGTGACCAGGTCCTGGTGCCCCAGGAGTACGTGCTCGTGGTCCCCGAGGACGCCTACAGCCCCAGCTACCTGCGGGAAGTGCCCCTGGACAAGTCCTACGACTTCATCAGCCATTGCGCTGCCCACAGCTACCACATCAGGTAGGCCGGGCTCCGGACAGGCTGGGCGGGGGTCCAGGCCAGGAGCTGGCCTCACCACCTGCCCGCGTCCCCAGCCCCAGCAGCGCGTCTGCGTTCTGCCGTGAGGCCGCCGCTTCGCTCTCCCTGTTCTACAACAACGGGGCCCGGCCCTGCGGCTGCCACGAAGCCGGTGCCATGGCACCCACTTGCGAGCCCTTCGGGGGCCAGTGTCCCTGTCGCGCCCACGTCATTGGCCGAGACTGCTCACGCTGCGCCACTGGCTACTGGGGCTTCCCCAGCTGCAGACGTGAGCCCCTCGCCCGTATCCGCGAGGCTGGGTTGGTGGGTGGCCCTCCGGGGAGCCCAGGGCAGTGGTCAGGAGAAGCTGCCCGCCAGCCGCTGACTGCGGGGCGTGGAGCGACCGTGGACCTTCTGGGGGTCCTGTGGGCCATGCCCATGTTGGGGGAGCTGGGTGGGCCTGGACCAGGCTGAGGGCCGCACCTCCAGGGCTGCGGGAAGGGCCCCTGCCGTGGAGGACTCAGCCCATGCTTGCTGCCCACAGCCTGCGACTGTGGCGGCCGCCTGTGCGACGAGACCTCGGGCCTGTGCATCTGCCCGCCGCGCACCCTGCCCCCTGACTGCCTTGTCTGCCGGCCTCTCACCTTCGGCTGCCACCCCCTGGTCGGCTGTGAGGAGTGCAACTGCTCAGGGCCCGGCGTCCAGGAGCTCACGGACCCTACCTGTGACGTGGACAGCGGCCAGTGCAAGTGAGAGGAGCGGGGTGGCCGGGGGTGGAGCCCTTTGGTGCCCCGGGGCCAGTGGGGCGCTCTCCTTCAGCACGAGGGGAAGGGAGGGGAGGGTAGCCCGCGGCCCCTAACCCTGGCTGGCAGGTGCAGACCCCACGTGGCCGGCCGCCGCTGTGACACCTGCGCCCCTGGCTTCCACGGCTTCCCCACCTGCCGGCCCTGTGACTGCCACGAGCCCGGCTCCTTGCCTGGCGTGTGCGACCCCCTGACGGGCCAGTGCCGCTGCAAGGTGAGGGCCGCCTCCTCGGCCGAGGCCCATGCTCCCCGCGCGAGCTCTGGGCCACTGGCCGGGACTGACCCGCCCGCCCTGCTGCCCCAGGAGAACGTGCAGGGCCTGCGGTGCGACCAGTGCCGCCTCGGAACCTTCTCCCTGGACGCCGCCAACCCCCGAGGCTGTACCCGCTGCTTCTGCTTCGGGGCCACAGAGCGCTGCCGCAGCGCTGACCACACCCGCCGGGAGGTGAGCGCCTGCCCGGAGGAGGGGCCCGCGCTTCCTGCGGCCCTGTGTGAGCAGCCCCCTGTGCCCGCAGTTCGTGGACATGGAGGGCTGGACGCTGCTGAGCGGTGACCGGCAGCGGGTGCCGCACGAGCTGCGGGTGGAGGCGGAGCTGCTGTACGCGGACCTGCGGCGCCTGCCCGAGGCCTCCCCCGAGCTGTACTGGCAGGCCCCGCCCTCCTACCTGGGCGACCGGGTGAGTGGGGCGGCGGGACGCCCACGGGGCGGGGTGGCGGGCGCCCGGGGTGGCGGGCGGCGTGGACCGGGCGGCTGTCGCCTCTCTGTCCCGCCCGCAGGTGTCCTCCTACGGCGGGATGCTCCGCTACGAGTTACACTCCGAGACCCAGCGGGGAGACGTCTTCATCCCCACGGAGAGCAGGCCCGACGTGGTGCTGCAGGTGCCAGCGGGGCCGGCGGGCGGGCTGGCGGGCGGGCGGGCGTGCGTGTGTGGCAGGCCCCTCACCGCCTGCTGCCTCCCCAGGGCAACCAGATGAGCATCACCTTCCTGGAGCCCGAGTACCCCACGCCCGGCCGGGCCCACCACGGGCAGCTGCAGCTGGTGGAGGTGATGAGAGCCGGCCCTGCTGCCCGGCCCCGCCCGGCGCGACCCAGCACAGAAAGGGGATCCCAGCGGGGGTGGGGGATGTGAGCTCTGGGGCTGCAGGCTCCCGGGTGCGGCGTCGCCCATTTCTCCTTGGCCCAAGGTCATTTTCTTGCCACTTGGGGGGCGCCCCGCTTTCCTCCGCTGTCACCCACATCAGATCCGGGAGCAGCCGCTCCCCTGCCTGCTCGCGGCCCCCGTCTTTGCTGCCCTCCCGAGCCCCTCCAGGTGGGCCACGCGCTCGGCCGCGCCCTGGCGGTCAGCGTTCCGAGTCCAGGTTAAGCAAACGCTCGGCTCCGACGCCCGGAGCGGCTGTTCCTGAAAGCGGAAGCCTTTTGCTTTCAGCGCCAACACGCCTGGAGTTGGCGTCTGGGGGGGGGAGAGGGGCCCCCATCAGCCGGGCCTGTCCACGCGGGACGTCCATCCTGCCCGGCGTGTGGCCCCGCTGAGGCCAGCCCTGTGCCCGCAGGGCAACTTCCGGCACACCGAGAGCCACAGCCCCGTGTCCCGCGAGGAGCTCATGATGGTGCTGGCCGGCCTGGAGCAGCTGCACATCCGGGCCCTCTTCGCGCAGATCTCCTCGGCCGTCTCCCTGCGCAGGGTGGCGCTCGAGGTGGCCGGCGAGGTGGGCGGGGGGCCTCTGGCCAGCAACGTGGAGCTGTGCATGTGCCCCGCCAGCTACCGCGGCGCCTCCTGCCAGGTGAGGGGGGCGGCCCCCCCCGCATCCCCGCCCTCCTCCCAGCTGCGCGGCCTGCCCTCTGTCCACCCACTGCCCTGTCCAGCCCGCCTGGTCATGGTGGCTAACCACCCGCGCCCGCCCCGCCGTGGAACCGGCCGCCGCCAGCCCTGGGGAGGCGGCCTGTGGCTGGACCCCCATGGACTGCCTGCGTCAGGCTTGCGCAGCTCCTCAGGCAGTGACGGGTGCCAGCTGGGCACGGGCCCTGGGGTGTGCCCCCACCCCTTCTGACCACTGATTCCCCTAGGAATGCGCCCCGGGCCATTACCGGGACATCAAGGGCCTCTTCCTGGGCCGCTGCGTCCCCTGCCAGTGCCACGGCCACTCAGACCGCTGCCTCCCCGGCTCAGGCATCTGCGTGGTAAGCGGCCGGGCAGGGAGGTGTCGCGCTGGCCAGATGCCAGGGGAGACCAGGGCCTCTGGCCCGGGTGTGGGATGTGGCCGCTGGCAAGGGCTGGGGGCGGGGCCTGGCCCGCGGGGGCCGGGCTCACCGCCTGCGGACTGCCGCGCTCCGCCCCAGGGCTGCCAGCACCACACGGAGGGCGACCGCTGTGAGCGCTGCGGGCCCGGCTTCGTGCGCGCTGGGCCCGAGGACCCCGCAGCCCCCTGCGTCAGCTGTCCCTGCCCCCTCTCGGTGCCGTCCAACAAGTAAGCTGCCCGACCGCGCGTCTGCTGTCTGGGGGGGTCAGTGCTCGCCTCTGCAGGGTGCCCGTGCGCTGGCATCGCGGCTCCTGGCCCCGCCCCGTGAGCACGCAGGTGCCACAGGTGGGGGCGCAGGGGGCTCACGACTGCCGCGTCCTTACAGCTTCGCCGTGGGCTGCGTCCTGCGAGGGGGCCGCACGCAGTGTCTCTGCAAACCCGGCTACGCGGGGGCCTCCTGCGAACGGTGAGCCGGAGTGGGGCGTGGGGGATGGGGGCGTCGGGGTGGGGGCGTGGGTCAGACGAGCCGCTGACACCACCCCCCGCAGGTGTGCGCCCGGCTTCTTCGGGAACCCGATGGTGCTGGGCAGCTCGTGCCAGCCCTGCGACTGCAGCGGCAACGGCGACCCCAACATGCTCTTCAGCGACTGCGACCCCCTGACGGGAGCCTGCCGGGGCTGCCTGCGCCACACCACCGGGCCCCGCTGCGAGACCTGCGCCCCCGGCTTCCATGGCAACGCCCTGCTGCCCGGCAACTGCACCCGTAGGCGGGGAGGGGTCGGGGCAGCCCCCCATCGGCAGCCCCCGCTACCCCGGCCAAGCCCAGCACACACGGGGACTCTGGCTTCCGCTGAGGCTGCCCCAGCCGGGCGCTGGCAGACGGTGCCCGCTGAGCCTGGGCTGCAGGGGAGCCGGCAGCAGTGTGGCTGGCAGGGGGCTGGGATGGAGGGGGAGGTGGTGGAAGTGGGGTGCGGGGGGCCCAATGGGGCGGGATGGAGATCTGCACGTAGGACCCGGGGGCAGAAGAGGCCGGCGGGGTCAGCGCCACCGTCCCTGTTGCAGGGTGCGACTGCTCGCTGTGCGGGTCGGAGGGCTGTGACCCCCACACTGGGCGCTGCCTGTGCAAGGCCGGCGTGAAGGGCCAGCACTGTGACCGCTGTCAGGTGGGGCAGCCTGGGTGCCCGTGGGCAGGCGGGCCTTGGTTGTGGGGAGGGGCCTGGCGGCCCAGGCCAGGCAGCCTGTGAACACGGCCCTCTCCCCCCGCAGGAAGGACACTTCGGCTTCGAGAGCTGCGGGGGCTGCCGGCCATGCGCCTGTGGACCAGCCGCTGAGAGCACCGAGTGCCACCCCCAGAGTGGGCAGTGCCGCTGCCGGCCAGGCACAGGGGGGCTCCAGTGCCGCGAGTGTGCTCCCGGCCACTGGGGGCTCCCCGAGCAGGGCTGCCAGCGTGAGTGCGGGCGGGTGGGTGGGGCCCCGGGGCAGGCAGCCCTCGCCCTTGGCTGGCCACTCAGCCTGCTCCTCCTCGCCAGGCTGCCAGTGCCAGGGGGGCCACTGTGACCGGCACACGGGCCGCTGCACGTGCCCCCCCGGGCTCAGCGGGGAGCGCTGTGACGCCTGCAGCCAGCAGCACCAGGTGCCCGTGCCGGGAGCGCCCGGGGGCCACGGCGTCCACTGCGAAGGTGCACCCCCATCCCCGAGTGACCCCACCCATCACCCCAGTCTTCCCTCCACCTGGCGGGCTTGTCCCAGCCACGCTGGCCTGGGGATCCCTCCGTGACCTTGAGCTCTTAGAGTCCCGTGACCCCCCTTTCCCTCCGCTCCCGAGGGGCCCCACGCTGTCTGCACGCTGACCCCAGGGCTCGTGCCGACTTCACTTCCCACTCCTGATCCCTGGGCTCCCCGAGCCCTGCCCCTTGGGTCTCCCCAGCCTCGCTCTGACCCCCGGCCCCCTGCTGGCCTCAGTCTGAAGGCCCCACGCTGACCGTGCCCCCTGCAGTGTGCGACCACTGCGTGGTGCTGCTGCTGGACGAGCTGCAGCGCGCCGGCGCCCTCCTCCCCGCCATCCGCGAGCAGCTGCGCGGCGTCAACGCCAGCTCCGTGGCCTGGGCCCGGCTGCAGCGGCTGGAGGCCTCCGTGGCGGACCTGCAGGTACAGCCCCTCCCGCAAGCCCTGCCCGCTGCCCCAGGCGGGCCCCTGCTTACCGCCCCCTCCCCACAGAGCCAGCTCCGCAGCCCCCCCGGGCCCCCCCGCCATACCCAGCAGCAGCTGGAGGAGCTGGAGCAGCAGAGCGGGAGCCTCGGGCAGGACGCACAGCGGCTGGATGGCCAGGCAGGACCCCGCCCCAGGCGCCCCGGCCCCTCCCCGTCCCGCCTCCCCCGTCGCCCCTCCCAGGACCCCCGCTGCCCCTGCCTGGACGCAGGCCCCAGCCCCCACAGGGGGACTCTGGGCTGATGAGGCGCTGCGTCCACAGGCCACAGGGGCCAGAGCGCAGGCCGGGCGGCTGCTGGACAGCACCGAGGCCACGCTGGGGCGGGTGCAGACGCTGCTGGCGGGCATCCAGGCTGTGGACCGCACCCTGGCAGGTGGGCGCTGGCCTGCGGAGCACGCGGAAAGGTGCTCAGACCACCGGGCGGCGGGCGGGCAGCAGCCGGCTGGGCCCTCACGCCCCTCCCCCACAGAGCTCGCGTCTCAGACAGACCGGCTGGCCCCGGCCAACGCCTCGGCCCCGTCCGGCGAGCAGCTGCGGCGTGTGCTGGCGGAGGTGGAGCGGCTGCTGGCGGAGATGCGGGCACGTGACATGGGGGCCGCGCGGGCGGCCTCTGAGGCCGAGCTGGGCGAGGCCCAGAGATGTGAGTGGCGGGTCCAGCGGGGCGGCGGGGCGGCTGGAGTCCCGGCTGAGGTCAGCACAGAGCGGCGCCACTAGCCCTGGGGAGGCGCTGGGGGCCGGCGGGCACTGGGGTCGCTGCCCGAGTGACCCTCCCCAACCGCCTCCGGCCAGCCCTGGCCCGCGTGCAGGAGCAGCTGACCAGTCGCTGGGAGGGAAACCAGGCGCTGGCCGCACGCACCCAAGAGCAGCTGGCGCGGCACGAGGCAGGCCTCATGGACCTGCGGGAGGCCCTAAACCGGGCGGTGGCCACTACCCGGGAGGCCGAGGAGCTCAATAGCCGCAACCAGGAGCGCCTGGAGGAGGCCCTGGTGAGACCCCACCCCGCCCGCGGCCCCCGGGACCCCCCCCACCCGCTCCTCCTAAGCCGCCCCACCCCCGCCCACCAGCAACGCAGGCAAGAGCTGGCCCGGGACAACGCCACCCTGAGGGCCACGCTGCAGGCCGCCAGCGACACAGTGGCCCAGCTCTCTGAGCTCGTGCTGGGCATGGACCAGGCCAGGGAGGTAAGTGGACGCCCAGGAGGCTGGGGGTCAGGCCCAGTGGCGGGCGGAGTGCCCCGAGGACCCAGACCAGGGGCGGAGGCCCAGGACAGTCCACCAAAGCCCGCCCGCCCCCAGGAGTACGAGCGCCTAGCCGCCAGCCTGGACGGGGCCCGGACGCCACTGCTGGAGAGGATGCGGGCCTTTTCCCCGGCCAGCGGCAAAGTGGACCTGGTGGAGGCTGCCGAGGCCCACGCAAGGCGGCTGGACCAGCTGGCGCTCAACCTGTCCAGGTGTGGACCCCAGGAGGGGGCCGAGGGAGCGGCCAGGCCGGAGGGCCCAGATGCGCCGGAGAGCAGGGACGGCCCAGCCGAGGGCCTCAGGACAAGGGTGGGGAGGCCGGGGCCCAGGTGGCCTGGTCCCAGCACCGTGGGGGGAGGGCTGCGTCCCAGGCCCCACCTGCACCCCTCAAGCCTCCCCGGCTTCCCCGCAGCATCATCCGCGGAGTCAACCAGGACCGCTTCATCCAGCGGGCCATCGAGGCCGCTGACGCCTACAGCAGCATCCTGCGGGCCGTGCAGGCTGCTGAGGGCGCCGCACGCCAGGCACTGCAGCAGGCCAGACAGGCCTGGACGGTGAGGCCAAGCCCCGCCACCCCCGTGGGAGCCCCTGCTCCCGACAGCTGGTGTGAACCGCCCTGTCCCCTCTGCAGACCGTGGTGCAGGGGGGCCTGGCGCCCCAAGCCCAGGAGACGCTGGCCAACAGCAGTGCCCTAGAGGCGGCCGTCCTTGGGGAGCAGCAGAGGCTGGGCCGTGGTGAGTGCAGCTTCGCAGGCCTCGGGCCTGGCACAGGTGGGCCGAGGCTGCTGTCCAGCTCTGCATATGGCCCTGGGGCCCGGCACCGGTCACTGCTCGCTGTGGCCCGTGGTGGCCCCGGGCTGGAGCTGGGGACTGACACGGACCAGCCAGCAACGGGTTACTGTCCTGGGCCGGGAGCCACGGTGGGGTGGGGGCGGCCGGGCGGCCTCTGCGCCAGGCTCTGACCCGAGGATAACTACATTTGTTGTGGGACCTGGAGGCTGCCCAGACTCGGGTTGCTCCAGTGCCTCCCTCTGAGCCACGGGCACTCGTCAGCCTGTCTGTGTGCTGTGGTTGACCCCAGCCAGGAGGCCGACGGGCCCGCAGGGGGGCCTGGGACTCCTCAGCTGAGGCCGCCTCTCCCGCAGCATGGGCAGCCCTGCAGGATGCCGGGACCCAGCTCCGTGATGCACGTGCCAAGCAGGAGCAGCTGGCGGTCCGAGTCCAGGAGGCGCAGGCCATGCTGGCCATGGACACAGGTAGGCCAGGCCCCCCGCCTGCCACCGCCATGTGTGGGGGTCACCGTAGCCAGTGTGGTGAGGGTGGCTCTGCTCTGCTCCGTCCAGGCCTGGGCCAGAGCAGCTAGGCACCCTCCATCTGGGGGACAGATATCAAGCAAAGTAGCCCCATGGGGCAGGAGGCCCTGGAAGGTGGAGATAGCAAAGCAGGGGCAGGGCCAGGCTGCAGGGGTGGCTCCACCCTCAGAGCCAGGGTGCTGGCTCTCGGGAGCACTTCTGGGGTGTCTGGTGTGCACCATGGGAGCAAGGAGGCTAGCGGGACCGAGGCCAGGGTGCGGTTCTGGGGCAGGGAGCAGACCTCATCTGACCAGGCTTGGGGCTCCCCATGGCCAGCTGCAGCCTGGAACACTCCAGCAAGTCCAGCCTGAGGGCCAGGCTCCCAGGAGAGGGCCCAGAGGTGTCAGGCGGCCCAGCTTCGGGCCGAGACCAGTGTGAAGCAGCTGCTCTGGGGGTCTCATGAGCTCCGCGGGGCCTTGAGGTCCCTGTGGCTGGGTGTGCAGGGGGACCTGGTAGGCCTCGAGACCCTGGGAGGGGAGACCAGAGCGGTCCCACCCCTGCTGACCTGGCCTTCCGTCACCACAGACGAGACGAGCAAGAAGATCGCCCACGCCAAGGCCGTGGCCACTGAAGCCCAGGAAACAGCCGCGCGTGTGCAGGGCCAGCTGCGGGACATGCAGCAGCAGGTGGACCAGTGGCAGGGCCAGTACGGGGGTCTTCGGAGCCAGGACCTGGGCCAGGTGGTGCTTGACGCTGGCCGCTCAGGTCAGTCTCTGGCCTGACGCCCCCAGGGCGGGCGGGCAGGGTGGGGGGGGTGGCTGGGCTCTCAGGGCTGTCCACTCCCCTCCTCAGTGTCCAGCCTGGAAAAGACGCTGCCGCAGCTGCTGGCCAAGCTGAGTGTCCTGGAGCACCGCGGGGCGCACAATGCCAGCCAGGCACTGTCTGCCAGCATCAGCCGTGTGCGGGAGCTCATTGCCCAGGCCCGCGGGGCGGCCAGCAAGGTGGGCACAGGCGTCGTGGAGGTGGGTGTCTGGGAGGCCGGGCGGGGCTGACCAGCCGTGCACCCCCCACGCAGGTCAAGGTGCCCATGAAGTTCAACGGGACCTCAGGGGTGCGGCTGCGTGCCCCGCGGGACCTGGCTGACCTCGCTGCCTACACTGCCCTCAAGTTCTATCTGCAGAGGCCAAAGCCAGCGCCTGGCCAGGCGGCTGGCGACCAGTTTGTGCTGTACTTGGGGAGCCGCCAGGTACCGGGCGGGCTGGGCGGGAGTGGGGGCAGGTGGCAGCACACGCGGTGGAGGGGCAGCTGACCCATGAGACGCCCGCACGCAGGCAGCCGGGGACTACATGGGCGTGGCTCTGCGGGACCAGAGGGTGCACTGGGTGTACCGCCTGGGCGGGGCGGGCCCGGCCACCCTCAGCATCGACGAGGACATCGGAGAGCAGTTCGCAACTGTCAGCATGGACAGGTGGGAGGCCAGCCCATGGTGCCAGCCGGCCAGCCCCCCTGGCCCGGCCGCCCCTCACCCGCCCTCCGTCCTCAGGACCCTGCAGTTCGGCCACATGTCCGTCACGGTGGAGAAGCAGACCATCCACGAGATCAAGGGTGACACCGTGGCCCCGGGGGATGAGGGGCTGCTCAGCCTGCGGCCGGATGACTTCGTCTTCTATGTGGGGGGCTACCCCAGGAACTTCACGGTGAGCTGGTCCAGCGGGTGCGCATGCCTGCCAGACTCTGACCACGCCTGCCCTGCCCTGCCCTGCCCTGATCCCCAGAGCCAGACCCCTGGCCGGCCCTTGGCGCCCACTGGGCAGCCCCGTGCCCTCGCCAGGGAGCAGAGCCTTGGTGTCCAGCTGCAGTCCCGCCCCCCACCCCCGCTCGTCCTGGGAGGGAGCTGCCCTGACCAGCTGTGCCCACAGCCCCCCAAGCCCCTCGATTTGCCGTGCTACCGGGGCTGCATTGAGATGGGCACGCTCAATGAGGAGGTCATTAGCCTCTACAACTTCGAGGAGACCTTCCAGCTCGACACGGCGGCGGACAAGCCCTGTGCGCGGTAGGTGCAGCCCTGCGGCCGCCCCCGGCTCCCCGCCGCCGCCCGCGGCTGACCGCCGCCCGCCGCCCTGCAGCTCCAAGTCCACCGGTGACCCCTGGCTGACAGACGGGTCGTACCTGGATGGCTCTGGCTTCGCCCGCATCAGCGTGGAGAGTCAGATGAGCAACGCCAGGCGCTTTGAGCAGGAGCTGCGGCTGGTGTCCTCCCGCGGGATCCTCTTCTTCCTGCAGCACCAGGCACGTGCCCGCGGCCCGGCCCCACGCGCGGCCCCGCCCCCCGCGCGGCCGCTCGCCCCGCCCCCGCCCCCGCTCGCCGCGGCCCCGGCCCCGCCCACCCCATGCGTCGCCGCCCCGCCCGCTCCACTAGTCCCGGCCCCGCCCGCCCACTAGCCCCGGCCCCGCCCACCCCACTCGCCCCCGCGGCCCCGCCCACCCAGCTCGCCCCGCCCCGCGGCCCCGCCCGCCCAGCTCGCCCCGCCCCGCGGCCCCGCCCCCTCACCTGCAGCCCTGACGCAGGGCCAGTACCTGTGCCTGGCGGTGCGCGCGGGCCAGCTCCAGCTGCTCTACGACTTCGGCGCGGGCCCGCAGGAGGCCGTCCCCTTGCAGCCGCCGCCGCCCCTGACCGCGGCCAGCAAGGCGGTGAGGCGCAGGGCCGGGGGAGCTGGGGGCCGGGCCGGGCGGGGGCGGGCACGGCGCCCCCTGAAGCCCCGTGCGGCCCCAGATCCAGGTGTTCCTGCTGCTGGGGGGCAGCCGCAAGCGCGTGCTGGTGCGCGTGGAGCGGGCCACGGTGTTCAGCGTGGAGCAGGACAACTCGCTGGAGCTGGCCGACGCCTACTACCTGGGGGGCGCGCCGCCCGACCAGCTGCCCGCCAGGTGAGCCGCGCCCGCCGGGGGGGCGGGGGTCTGGGGAGGCGGCCCTGACGCTTGACCCCCGCAGCCTGCGGCGGCTCTTCCCCTCGGGCGGCTCGGTGCGCGGCTGCGTCAAGGGCATCAAGACGCTGGGCAAATACGTGGACCTCAAGAGGCTGAACACCACGGGCATCAGCTTCGGCTGCACCGCCGACCTGCTGGTGAGCCCCGCGCCCCCGCCGCGCCCCCGCCGCGCGCCCCCGCCGCCCGCCGCGCCCCCCGCCGCCCGGCCCAAACCTGCCCCCCGCGCCCTCCCGCAGGTGGAGCGCGCCGCGACGTTCCACGGCCACGGCCTCCTGCCCCTGCCGCTCCGCGACGCGCCGCCGCTCTCGGCGCACGTGTACTCGGGCTTCGGCTTCCGCAGCGCGCAGGCCAGCGGCCAGCTCTACTCCCGCGCCTCCCCGGTGCGTGCGCGCGGCCGGCCCGGCGGGAGGGGCGGCTGCGCCGGCACCCGCTGACCTGGCTGTGCCCCCCAGGACGGGCCCTGTGAGGTGTCCCTGCAGCAGGGCCGGGTGACGCTCAGGCTCCTGAGGACCGAGGTGAAAACTCGAGGGGGCTTTGCTGACGGTGCCCCCCACTACGTGGCCTTCTACAGCAACGCCACAGGGTGAGCTGGTCCCGGCGCGGGCGGGCGGGCGCCAGTGGTGGGTGCAGGGCTGGAGAAGGCTGCTTCCCCTCAGGGTCTGGCTCTACGTGGATGACCAGCTTCAGCAAATGAAGCCCCACCAGGGGCCGCCGCCCCGGCCCCAGCCCCAGCCGGAGGAGCCCCCTCGACTGCTCCTGGGCGGCTTCGGTGAGTCCGGCACCTCCCGCCACGTCCACAACTTCAGCGGCTGCATCAGCAACGTTTTTGTGCAGCGGTGAGCTGGGATGGGGTGCGTGGGTGGGGCGGCAGCGGGGAGGGGGCACCCCTTGCTGACTGCTGCCGCCCCGCAGGCTCCACGGGCCTCAGCGCGTGTTCGACCTGCAGCAGAGCATGGGCAGCGGCGTCAACGTGAGCTCTGGCTGCGCCCCCAGCGCTCGGGCCTTGGAGCCGCCCCCTCAAGGACTTCGGGCCGCAGCAGCTCGGAAGGTGGGTCCGGGGGGTGTGGGGGCACAGCAGGAGGTGGGCAGGAAGGGCCCGCACACACCCATGCGTCCCTTCCACCGCCCCAGGCCTCTCGCCGGAGCCGCCAGCCCACAGACCCGGCCTGCACCTCGCCTGGGCCGCTCAGGGCCATCCCAGAAGCCTACCAGTTTGGCGGCGCCCCGTCCAGTCACCTGGAGTTCGCAGTCCCCAGGCACTGGTAGGGCTGGGTAGGGTAGGGCAGGGCGGGCTGGGTGGGGGCAGGGGCCGCCCAGACTGACATCCCGCTGGCTTCCAGGGCCCACCTCTCCTTGCTTGTCCGCCCTCGATCCCCTCGAGGGCTGCTGGTCCCGCCGCCCCCCCAGAAAGCCGGCACCCCCTCCCTAGTTCTCTTCCTGAGCCACAGACACTTCGTGGCTCAGGTGGAAGGCCCTGGGCCCCAGCCTCGCGTCCAGAGCCGCCAGCGCGCGCGGGCCGGCCGGTGGCACACGGTGAGTGAGGGCCGGGAGGGGACCCAGGTGGGCCCGCGGCCTCCGCCCTGACCGCCCTCCCCGCCCCAGGTGTCCGTGCGATGGGGGAAGAATCAGCTCCAGCTGGCAGTGGACGGGGTCCAAGTCCTGGCCCAGGCCGCGCCCGGCCAGCAGCCCCGAAGAGCAGAGGAAGCCCACCCGCACTCGCTCTTTGTGGGAGGGGCGCCCGCCCGCCGCCCCCCACTCCCGGTGAGGACCGTCTCCCCAGCACTGCCCCGGGTCGGGAGTCTCCCTCCTCGGCGCCCGGGCCTGACCCCACGCCGCCCGTCTGACCCTGCAGGTGGCCCATGGCCCGGGGTTCACTGGCTGTGTGAAGAGGCTGAGATTGGATGGGCGGCCCCTGGGGGCCCCCAGGCGGATGGCAGGGGTCACTCCGTGCTTCTCAGCCCCCCTGGAGAAGGGCCTGTTCTTCACAGGCAGCGGGGGTGTCCTCAGTCTAGGTCTGTCTGGTGCTGGGGGCCGGGTGGGGGGGCGGGGCGGCGCCCCAGCCTAGTGTCCTCCCCTCACGGCCCCTCCCCGCAGCCCTCCCTGGGGTCACGCTGCCTGCCGTGGGCCTGGAGCTCGAGGTTCGGCCCCAGATGGCCACTGGTCTCCTCCTGCACCTGGGCCAGACCCAGGCACCCCCCTACCTGCAGCTGCAGCTGCAGGACAAGCAGGTAAGCCCGGAGCAGCCCAGGGCAGCCAGCCTCCCGCCTCGGCTGGCAGGCCCTCCTGACCACCCCCCCCCCAGGTCCTGCTGCGGGTGGACGACGGCGAAGGCGCGCTCTCCACCTGGGTGACACGCCCCGCGGCGCTGTGCGACGGGCAGTGGCACCGGCTGGCAGGTGAGCAGAGTCCCCTGGCCACGCCCGCCCTCCGCGGAGCAGGGGACTGTGCGGGGCGCAGAGGGAGGGGCCCTTGCGGGGCAGCCACGGGAGCCTGTGCCCACAGTGACCAGAGAAGGACGCGAGCTGCATCTGGAGGTGGACGTGCAGCGCAACGGCACGCGGGGCCTCCTGCCCGTGGCCTCCACCCCCGCGCGGGCACCTCTGCACCTTGGGGGCCTGCCAGGTGAGTGTGGCTTCAGCCTGCAGGGGGAGCCACCCCTTGGGGACCAGGCCTGAGGCCCGGCTCTGAGGCACCCGTGGGACACTGGCCCGGCTCCAACCCACCTCCCTCCTCTTCCCCTGCGCCCCAGAGCCCACAGATGACGCGCCGGCCTGGACGCACCTCGGCCTCCCCCCTTCCGCGGCTGCGTGAGGAACTTGGTGGTGAACGGGTCCCCCGTCTCCTGGCCTCACGCCACGAGCATCCAGGGGGCCGTGGGGACCGGCGGCTGCCCGGCCCATAGCGCGGCTGCCCCAGCCCGCGTCCCAGCCGCGCGTCCAGCGAGGAAGACGGACCTTGTGTCTGGAGCCGGCTCAGAGTCCGCCTTTTGTGACCAGTTTTCCCCTCCTACGCTTTCGGCGTCACTGAATTAAAACTAAACTGAAAGCGCGGCCTGTGTCCACCCGAGCGCGGGCTCTGACGGAAGGAACAGGGAGGCGGGGGGGCCCAGGGGGGCACGCGGGAAGCCAGAGCTGGCAGGTAAGACTTTATTTAGGGGTGCGCGGCGGCGGGGACGCAGGGCAGCGGGCCGCAGACCTAGTCCAGGCTCATGTCCTCCTCCTCGTCCTTCTTGTCCTTCCCGCCGCCCTCCTGCTCGGGCCTGGCGCTGTCCTGCATGGCTTTGGCAAACGCTTCCACATCTGCAAGGCACGCCCAGAGTGAGGTGGCCCCCGGGGCCGGCCAGCAGGAGCCAGACCCGAGCTCTGGGCGGCCCGCGGCGGGTACTTACCGCCCTTGTTGGCGGCCTCCACAGCCTCCGCAGGCAAGCCGAACTGGCACATGAGGGGGCCCAGCTGCCCCGAGGCCAAGGCTGCACTGAACATGCCCAAGGCCTGCAAGGCAGAGCCAGAGACCGAGTCCACGCGAGGCCCACCTGGGCAGGCGGGCGCGGGGCGGGCGCGGGGCCTACCTGCTGGAACTGGGGCGAGGTCAGCGTGTTCTGGATCTCCTCCGCCGTCTGGGGCAGCGACTCTCCCGAGGGCAGGTAGGGCAGCAGGCGCTCCTGCACGTCCGCGTTGGCGAGGATGGGCGCCATGATCTCGGGGGTCAGCACGCTGGCCAGGTCCACTAGGGTGCAAGCGCAGGCCTCAGGCCTCGAGGGCAGGCAGCACCAGATCCCGGTGGCGAAGCTGGGCATGGCCGGGAGGGGGGCACAGGGCAGGAGCACCCCCAGCCAGGCGCTGTGGGGCGTTACCTTGCTGGCCGCCGCCTGGCCCGGCTGGCACGTTCATGGTGGCCAGGATGCTCTGCAGGTCGCTCAGCTGGATGGGCTGGGTGGGGCTGGCGGCCGTGCTGGCTCCGCTGCCCGAGCTGGGCGCAGGGCTGGGGCTGGTCGCAGAAGCAGCTGCTGGAGCAGAAGGGGCGGGGGTGGCACGCGCGGAAGAGGCAGTGGAAGACGGGGTGACCGCTGCCGACTGGCTCCGAGAGCTGGAAGAGTGAGGGGGCGCTAGAACGGCCAGGCATCCAGAGAGGCGCCCGGGACACGCCCATCCTGCCCCAAAGGGCCTCGCCGGACACTAGGGAAGAGCCCGGACCCCTGGAGCCACCTGTCCTGCCGCATCTCCGGGGAGGCGAGGATGCCAGAGGGGGCACCACGCGTCCAGGCTCACCTGGACGAAGAGCTGCTCGCCGGAGGACCCCCGCTGCCCAGTAAGCTGGCCAGGCCCGGCCCAGTCAAGGCCCCTAGCCCGCCTAGGAACAAGGAGACCACGGTTCAGCTGGCAAGGCCATCTGGAGGGTGACCCTCCTTCCGGTGGAGATACGCACGGGGGGGGGGGGGGTGGCTCGGACTGCAACGCCCACTGGCTTAGTCTCCACGTCAGGTCCCTTCCCTTCCCCTCCCCCTGGTCATCGGTCCGCGGCAAGACACCAACCCAGCCCAGGACGAGACAGCGTTCTCGGCGTGCACGTGACACCCCGCCCACTCCGGGGAGGCGGCCCTAGGCTGGCATCCCCAGGGGGAGCCCAGCCCTGGAAGGGGGCGGTGCGGGGACAGTGCAGGGGCAGGCTGGCGCGGCCAGCGCGTTACCTAGGCCTCCGAGGCCGGCGGGCCCGATGAGCTGCATGAGCTGGCTGTGGCTCATGTTCCCCAGCAGGCTCTGGAGACCGCCCTCCCCTGGAAGACAGGCGTGCACGCACGGCTCCCACCATGCCCAGCTGACCCCCACCACGGTGCCTGGCAGCTGCGGCCTGAGGCTCACGAGTGGAGACCAAGTGGCGGGGGTCCTGACTGGGAACCTAACCCCCGCTCCGTCAGGGGTCCGAGCCCCACAGCACCTGCTCCGACCCCCCGGCACCCACAGGAGGGCCACGTTACCACCCAGTGCTGAGAGCTCGTGGCCGCCGCCGCCGCTGGCCCCCAGGGCACCAGGCATCGGGGGGTTGTTGAGATACTCGTTGACCTTGCGGCAGTGCTCCTCGTCCTGGTCAGTCTTGGGCTCCTGCGGGCGAGGACACGGCAACAGCCACAGCTGAGAAGCCCACGGCACCGACCTGGTCACCCACTGGCTGCGCCCCTCGCGATGGGGCCCTCAACATGCACAGGAGGCCCCATGGTCCAGGACACGCCGCGTCCCAAGCCGAGTCCTGCGATGCCAGCCCCAGGCTGCCCACGGGGCTGGGGACAGCAGCGAGCACGGCAGGCGGGGGCGGTGGACGGTGGGGGTGAGATTAGGGGCGGCTCATCAGACCCAGAACAATGAGGCAAAGCACCCAACTCAGTCCTCCCAGACTCACTGCCATGCATCGGGTGCCTGCAGGGCACAGCCAGGCCACAGGGCAAGAGTGGCAGGCGACACTGAGGCCGCAGACCAAGGGCCCCAACTGAATTTGCAAATAAAGTTTTCTTGGGACAGGACAGAGCCTGGGGCTGCCCTCCGCGGTCCACACACCAACACCGCAGAGGCCATGCCAGCCCCCAAAGGGCACGCTCTCCCACTCGGCTCTTGAGCGGGGGGGGGGGGGGGGGGGGGGGGGCGGGGCTGCGGGGGGCAGGGTCACCAGGACCAAGGCCAAGGCACAGGCATCCCTCCAACCCCAGGAGGTCAGCGCGCACGTCCTCTCACACATTTGCACGTGGTCGTTCTTCACACCGTGCCGCACACTACAGAGTCAGGCCTGACAACCCCCAGCAGCTGACGCCAGAATGGCACTGTCCCCCGAGACCCCCACACAGCACTGGGCAACAGCAAGTCTCAGAAAAGCTGGGGGAGGACGTCCTTTCCATAAAAAAATGCAGGGAGACACGTGGGGTCACCCCTGCTGCTGCTCTAGGGACCCTGCAACCTTCGGGTGGTCCTGGGAGCCGCGTGCTGGCTGGGGCGCTGACAAGGGCCCGGACACCAGACGGGACCCACCACCTGGTATGTGGAGCAAACTCCCCTGTCAGGAAAACCAGTTTCTGACCTAAATTTCCAGTAACGCAAAAGCAAACAAGCCACAAGCAGCGCCTCCCGCCTACCTGCATCCAGAAGAAGAGGCGCTTGGACCCCGCCTTGAACTTGAGCACGTAGACCCTCCCGCTGGGGCACTGGGGCACGCGCTTGAACTCGCAGTCGTCGGGGAAGATGATCAGGTCCTGCAGAGACACACAGGGCCTGCGCTGTGCCTGAGCCGCGCGCCCACCCCACAGGGGCACCCCACAAAGGGGGTAGTGGAAATGGCTCAGGGCCCCAAAGAAGGGGGTTTCTCGGCTCTTAAAGAACGTTTGATATTTGGGGAGCAACGCTCAGGGGGGAGGTGTCAACTGGGCGGGCTCCCAAACCTGATCCCACGATCACGCTCTGTGACGCCCCATGACAAAGCAGGGGACTCCCACGCTCCCCCGATCCTGGGCACCCAGTCCTCAAGGGTCCAGGTGGACCCTGCCAGGAGAGGCGATGTGGCCTCCAGGCCAGCAAGAGCCCAGGGAAGCGGCGCGGGCAGCGGCACCGCGCACCCCGGCCGGCCCCGGGGTGAGGGCCGGAGGCCCAAGCCGGGGCTCAGGCAACACTCACATCTTCCACGTTCCCCGACGTCCTGTCCTTCCAGCAGAAGTGGATGAGGGAGTCGTCCGTCTGCTGGATGTACACCAGCCCTTTCCGCTTATCGGGGGTGACGGTGGTGCCCTTCAGCGACATCTTCCCGGCCCGGAACTCCACCAGGTACTTGTTGGAGGCGCCGCGGGAGCCCGGCACCAGGCTGGGGAACAGCGCGCCCGACGTCGTCATCCTGAAAGCGGGGGCAGCGCAGCGCGTCAGCCCGCGGGCCCGGCCCCCGCCCCCCAGCCCCGCCCCCCCGGGGAGCCCCGCTCCCACCAGGAACCCCCCGCGCCCCCCCGCCCCCCCGGGCCCGCCCGCCGGAGTCCGCTCCTGGGGCCCGGCCGGGGCCGCCGCGTCTCAGGTTTCTCAGCAGAGTCTCCCCGCGCCGCCCGGGCCGCGGCCGCGAGAGCCGGAGCCTCCCGGGACGGTGCGGCCCGGCCTGCCCAGCGCGGCCCCCGCCGCCCCCGCCCCCGGGGCCCCCCCCCCCCCCCCCCCCCCCCCCCGGCGCCCCCGCACCTGGCCCGCGCCGAGACTCGGCCGAGAGGCGCCGCTCGGACTCGCTCTTCCTCCTCGGCGCCTGCCGGGCCCCGCCGGAAGCCGCCTCTTGCCCCGCCCCGCGCGCCGCTCTCGCTGCCGATTGGCCCCCATCAGGCAGGACCCTGGCCCCGGCCCGCGAGCGATTGGCAGAGGCGCCCGTCCATCAGCCCTCGCCTCCCGCCCCCGCGCCTCGGCTCCCTTCCGGCGGAAGCGCGGGCCAGAGCGGCCCCTATTGTTGCTGTGTCATAGGGGCGCGGCGGCGGCCCCTGGCGGCGGCGCCGGGAATGGCGGCCGGCGCGCCTGCGGGGCGCGGGGCGGGCGCCCCCGAGCGCCAGGCGGGGTCACCTCGGAGCGCCCGGCAGGGGCGCAGGCTCGCTGGGCCGTCCCCGAGGGGGTCGGGTTTACGGCCGCGGCGAGACGCCGGCCCCAGCGTGGGGCAGTCGGGGGCCGGGAGGCCGGCGGCACCCCGGGGGGCTCGCGGGCGGGGCGGGGGCTCGCCGCCCCCCGGCTGGGTCGTGATCCCCAGCGCGGAGCTGGTTCCCGGGGGGCGTCGCCCACGTCGGCGAGCGGGGCCCGCTCCGCGCGTCCTGACCGCTCCGAAGCGCCTCACTGCAGGCCGACGCGGTGGACGTCGGGCGCCGGCGGGCCTGGGCCTCGGCGCCAGCGGGGGGCTGCAGGGCCGTCACCCCGCGCCGCGCCCCCCCCCCCCGCCGCGCCCCGGCCCCCCAGCTGCGCCTCCGCTCCCACGCGCGGGGGCCCGCGCCCTGCGTCTCCTGCGCGTGGATCCTTCAGGACACCGCACCCCTGTACCCCGCAAACCGCCCGGATTGCGCCTTCCGCGGTCAGATGGGGCCGGGCCGCCCCCGGACCCCACAGCCCCGCCGGCTCTTCGCCCGTTCACGGGCCACTGCTTGCCTTTGGTTCTTTTAAAGCTTTTTAAGACTGATTTATTTATGTGCGTGTAGAAGAGCTGGGGTGCAGGCCAGAGGTGCGGGGGTGAGAGACGCACCAGAGACAGTGGGGAGCAGGACAGGCGCTGCCGGAAACCCCCTGCTGAGGGGAGCAGCGGAGGCAGGAGGGGTCTGCCGTGCCGTGTGGGTCGCCCCCTGGCGGGGCTGGCACCGTGGAGGGCTTGCTGGCGCTGTCCCCAACCGCGCGCCCGGGAGGCCCTGTTTGCTTCTCGATGCCGCGCCCGGGCGCGGAGCGGGCGCTGAACGCCCTTGCACCGCTGGCTCCCTCCAGGGCCTGTGCCCCGCCGGGCTCCTCCCCGCGGCTCTGACCGCAGAGGCTGGCCGGTGGGTCACGCCTGCCTCCTGTCCTCTGGTGCTCGGTCGGTGCCTCTCGGCTGTGACCTCTGGCTCCCCGAAGATGCGAGGGTCTGATTTGCGTTTATAGCAGCTCAAGCACAATAACAAAACTCCCCTTACAGCTATCCCTGTTGTGACCACAAAACCGCGTCCTCTTGGTCGTCACCCCAGAACACGGCCTGAGCACGCCCTGGCCTCCCCCAGGCAGAAAGCAGGCGCAGGAGCCAAGGCTGTGGCTACTAACACCATCTGTAAGACTAATCTTTTAAGTCTGTCTCAAATCGCGAGGCAAGCAGAGAGTACCTGCCCCGATTTCCCGTGGGCGGGGGCCGCTGCCCTCAGGCCTGCCTTCACTTCCCCAGGCGGCTTCTCGTTCCTGCGGGGTGTCAGGCACGGAGCCGGGCGCAAGCCCCCCCACGGCCGTTTGTCAGGGAAGGCCTTCGCCGTTGGAGGGAAGAGTCGCCAGGTAGACGTGTTCTGGGCCGCGGGCTGGCTCCCACGGGCGCGGCCACCTGCCCACCTGGCCGCCACGGCCCGAGCCCCTGCCACCCCCGTGGCTGTGCCTTGTCTCCGCCTGCTGGGTTCGGGGTTCGGGGTTCACTGTCTTCGTCTTTCGAAAGCCTGACGGCAGCGTGGGTCCGAGTGGATCTGCGCACCCCTTGGCTGGAGTTGGCTGAGACTTAAGATGTGCATGTTCATGTCTTTCATCACATTGGGGAGTTTTCAGAGATCGTTTTTCCAAATAGCCTCTCCGTTCCCTCCTCGCGCTCTGCCTTGGGGCTCTGGGGTGCGCAGCTGGTCTGTCGGGGGTGCCCTGCAGTTTCCTGACTCCATTTGCTTTTTTCAGTCTTTTTCTCTTTCTGCTGCGCAGACACCACTTCCGCGGCCCCGCCTTCCAGGTCTCCGAGCTTCCTGCGCCGCTCAGATCTGCTTAGGGTTAGGGTTAGGTTTGTTCATTCCAGTCAATTCTATGTTTTAGCGGCAACATTTTTCTTTCACTTCCTTTTAGGTTTTGTGTCTCTTCATGGATACTTCCCTTGGTAGATGTTTTTTCCTGACTTCCCTCACACCCTCCGTGGCTGTCTGAGCCCCTTTGTTATTTCAGTCTGGCCGGTGGAGGTGCCATTAGGGCTTTTCCGGAGAGTTTCTCAATTTTTTCTTAATATTCCCGTTTCTTTGTAGGCTTTGTGGAATTTTACTGAACAATGGTATTTAAATTTAATAATGTGGTGACTGGAAATCAGATGCTCCCCCGCCCCGGAAGCTGCTAGAGGTTGGTTTCTCCTTGTTGTTGGGCTTCCTGCTGCTGCAGCCACCCCTGTGCCCAGACTGCCGAGGTGCAAGCTCAGTCCTCTCGGGAGGCCTCCCAGGCCCTTCCTGGGGCATATGTGGTCGCTTTCTAATCTTCCTTCTACAATTATTTTTGAGTGACGGTCTTTAATGTCTGACTCCCACAGGGGAAAAGAGAAAAGTGATGGGGGGCGGTGGGGGGGAGGGCACTGGCCCGTTAAATTCCCTGCAGTCACCTCACCTGAGCGGGAGGGGCAGTCAACCATGGGCCAGGTGTGGCCACGATGACCACCCACCTCTTTGTCTGCTCTCGGTGACCAGAGCGGCCACCAGCCATGGGAGCACAGGACCCCTCGCTCCTCGCGCCTCCCGCGCTGCGTCCCATCTGGCCCAGGGACATGCGTGAGGCCGCCTGCAGGGGCGAGGGGCGGGGCGGGGCTGAGAGTGGACATGGACCGAAAGGGACCACAGTCCAGGGTCCAAGACTTGGCTCGGGGTGCAGGCCTTCTGGGGACCCCAGAGCTCCAGGGCCGTGAGAGCAGGCAGACTCCAGCATGCAGCGCTGCAGGCCGGGCCAGGGCCTGGTGCTTCTACTCGGCCATCTTCCCAGAGACCTCTGCACCCCGGCCCTGCCGTCTCCACGGTCCTGCTGCTCTGGGGCTGGTGTTCTGAGACCTCCGTGGGCAGCCTCCCCACCCACCTGTCCCCGCCACGAGCACCATCCCTTCATGTCCCGTCGCGGGGGGCACGCCTCGCACTGAACATGCTCACTGCCCCGCGGCCAGCTGCTGAAGGACATCTTCCTGCTCTGCGTCCTGGCCACAGTGGGCGCTGCCGCGACAGATGTCGAGCCACCCTGGAAGATGCGTCCTCGGCTCCTGCGGTCAATCCCGGGCCGTTGCTGTCGGCCACCTGGGGCCCAGCCTGCGGCCCCTCCAGAGCGAGGTCCTTGCTGGGAGCCCACGTCTGGAAAGCAGCAAGGCCCATTTTGGTCCTGTCCTTTATCCCTTTCAGAGACATGCAGTATTTTGGAGGGTTCTGTTTAGGGGGCAGCCTGCACGGGGAAAGTGCTGGGGTGCCCACAAGGGCCCAGGGCCTGCCTCTCCACTGCTTCCTTGTGACCGGGGCCACAGCCAGCGCAGTGCCCGACACCTGCGGCTGCTCCATCTGCTAGTGCCGGTGTGCCTGGCGGCCCTGCTTCACTTGGTGCCGGGGCTGAGATGCCTGTCTGGCCAGATGGCTCTAGCACACCCGCAGGCCTCGATGCCCAGGGCAAAATCAAATGCCAACGCCTGGGGCACAAGCACTTTCCTTTGTGCCCCCAAAGTCCATCCCCACGGACAGCAGCATTCAAAAGGCACCCCGTCCTTAAACCAAAGCCACCCTGGCCGGAAGGAGTGGTGAGCGGGCACCCGGTCCTCTCCCTGTGGGCCACTTCTCAGTCATGAAAAGCTCCCTTTGAGGGCCAGTCAGCAGGGACAGCGCCGAGGGCCCGCCTCAGGGGCTTCTGAGTGTTGGCCCTGCAGGACCAGAAGTTTCAGTGTTGTCAGTCACAATCAGTGACTTTGCAAAGGCGACATGTCGTCCGCCGGGACTTCTGGAGCAGGCGTGGCCGCTGCTTGGTGACAAGCCCTGACCCCGGCCTTGGGGCAGGCGGGCGCGTTACCCAAGGCACCGAGATGGAGCTGTGAGGGTGAAACGGGGCTGGCTGCTGAGAGCCCAAAGGCCAGACAAAGGCTGCAGTGGAGGCTCAGCAGTGGGGAGCGACAGCACCCGAGGACGGTGCCCCGTGGAGGGCAGGGCAGTCTGTGGGTCTCCTCCGTGCACAGCTGCGGGGACCCCAGGCTCCGGGAACAACCCCCACGGATGTAGCTTACAAGCAGGGGAGATAAAGAGCTCACTGTGGCCGCAGTGGTGGCTGCCTCACCCAGAGAGCGTCCAGTGTTTAGATGTAAGGAGAGCACCAGTCACCTGCCAACAGGCTGGCCGGCACTGGCCAGCAGGGACGGTCACCACTGGTCATCAGGAGGCGGGGCCAGAGAGACCCAGTGTTCCCAGCTCTGTGTGAGTTGTTGGGTGACCCCAGGCCCAGGGCCCGCGTCCCGGTCTCAGCAAGGTCTTCAGCTTTTCTTCCTTCCTGTGAGGTCGGCTGTTGGTCCCCTTGCTCTCCTTGGAGGCCAGGAAGGGAGTCTCCTCGGCTCCCTCCACCCCACATCCTCTTTCAGGGTGCCCCGCCCACAAGCTGATTGGGCCATTTTGAATCCTATGGCTGTTTGGACCATTTAGCACCAATCAGCTCATAGCTCGCACCTGATTGGTCCATTCTGTGATCCAGGCACTAGGTATAAAAGGGAGGCTCCTGGGTTCTGAGGAGCCACAGCCAGAGCAGGCCTGTGGTGGTGCGGCAGGTGAGAGGCCACTGCCGGCTCTCACTGCTGAGGCAAGGTTCCGGTTCTAAGACCGCCCTGGCACAACATGGCTGTTCGACGCTGCCGCCTGCCACCTTCCTGGGGCACAGGTCCTGGCCAAACGGTCGGTCGGCACCACCCGCTCTCCGGAGGATGCCTCTGCTCCGATGCTGACTGCAGGCCTTGGATCTGACCCCAACCCCAGCTACCAGTTTCCAAAGTGACAAAATCAAGCTTTCAAAACAAGGATTGCCTTCAGAGTGTTTTAATTACAAATGTGACTTTGCAGCCCAGACACACAGGGCCAGCACCTCTCAGGGGACCCACCGCTCCACCCACAGAGCTGTGCGCACGGGCGTGGGCAGAGCCTGTGCGCACAGCAGGTTGTCTGCGGTGCTGACGCTTCTACAGAAAGAAAACAGTCACTGCTAAAGATGCGGGCTGAGATGGGCGCCGACTCTGGCCAAACACCTCGATGCCTCCGCAGCAGCAGGTGCCCCGAGCCCCTCCCTGGCGTGTGCAGGACTTGGCGGCTTGTTTTACACATGCATGCGGGGACCAACGCCCCAGAGCTGCGCTACGGGTGAAGCAGCTCAGCTGGGACGTGGGCTTGGCCTGCGGGCCGGGGAAGCCCTGGAGACCAGAGGGCACAGGCGGCTGAGGTGGGCTTCCCCAGGGGCCATCGGGGGCCTCCGTCAGCCGCTCAGGGCTCCTGGCTTCATGTGGATAGCATACGGCTGGGGGGCAAAGTAGATCCTGCTCTTCAGCAAAATACTATTCAAGTAGTTCTACCTTAAATATCTTAAAAGCAATCTTTACATTATTGAAGACTGGTAAAAAATACAGAATCTGACAACGTCTCACTTCATTCCACCTGATGCTCTGCAATCTCGCCGTCTCCTGTAGCTCACAAAGGGACCCCTCATGCCGAGAAAACAGCGGGATTATTTCCAAGGCCCCTGCTTTCAGGGGCAGAGCCCCGCGCACAGCCTCGCCGCGGCGCTGCAGGGAGGCCCGGCCCTTCCCCGCGCGTCCTTCGGGCGGGACAGCCTGCGGGCCCTCGGCTAGGCCGCCCACCGCTCGGAGGGGCTCGCAGACTGTTTTCTTTTCAAACCACTACGAAAACGTGATGGTCCCAAGTGAAGCTTTATGAAGAGGCTGCAACAAGAGGGAGCGTTTGGCAAAGGTCGGTCCCAGCGAGGCCCTCGGCAGGAGGCGGCAGCCCCAGGGTCGTCAGGGGCTGCTCCCAGCGTGGCCTCCGCACAGGCCCGGCCTCTCGGCGTCCGGTCCCAGGCCGCCCGGGGCCTCAGTAGATGTCGGGGCAGCCCGAGAAGTCCCGCTCAAAGTAGCCCCCTGCGTACAGCCAGTCGGGGGCCCCGGTGTAGGGGTTGCTGCCGGGGCGGAACCACCTGCAGGACAGAGAGGGGTCGGGCGCCGTCCCACCCTGGGTCCAGCCAGGCACGCGCCGACGCGGCCTCCGACACGCACCACCAAGAACCAGTACCCGGCCGCCACCCGCTCCCTTTCCAGCACCTGGGGGACCCCACACGCCACTGGCCGGGCGAGAACCAGCCACGTGACACGGCCGGCCCCGCGGGCCACCGCGGGCGTGTGTGGTGGCAAGGGTGGCCTGCGGGCTCAGGACAGGGGCGGCCCCTCCCAAGCACTGTCCCACCTGCAGTGTGTTTTGAAAATTTGCTACTTAAAAAATCCGCAGCAAAGAAAGGCTGTCCGTTCCCTGGACAAAACTGATGTGAGCATCAAGCTCTCAGAAGCCTAGTACTACAGCGGGGGCCGCACCAGGTCGGCTCAAGGGCGTCACTGGGCCTCGGGGACGGGCGCTGCGGAGCAGCTGGGTGGGGAAACCCAACCAACAGCCAAAGCACCCAATGGTCCTGGAAGCTAAAAGCTTGACATAAATTGTGCTCAACTGGGCCTCCCTGGGGGCACAGGGTTAAGTCTCAGCACTACGAAGCTTCCGCAGCCACTGCGGCTGAGTGCGATCCCCGGCCCGGGAGCTGCCCACAGGGCGCCGCAGACCTCGCCTGCCTCCCCGCTGCTCCCCTCGGCAGTGTGTCTCAGTGGATCCGCCTGTTCTGCTCCCCACCCTGTCTCCAGTGAATCCTCTCACCCCCCACACCTCTGGACTGTACCCCAGCTCTTGTATGTATAAATAGATCTTTAAAAAAAAAATGTGCTCGACTTCCACAGCATTCCAGTTCCCATCAGGCTCCTGGAATACGGTCACTTGAGCAACAAGCAAAACACAGTCAGTCGTGGCCACTTCAGCAAGAACACAGGCCTCGGCCCTGGCAGGTCTTGTCCACGTGCAAGGCCCGGCTCTCAGCACAGACCCTCCTGCCCTGGTCTGAACCAACCAGGGCGCCCTGGGCTGGGGGGCAGAGCAGGCTGACAGCAATGGCACCACACACTCTTCTCAGATGCCTCCTGCCCACCCACCACACCATGCCCCCCCACCCGCTTGCTCGGGCTCAGCCTCTCTCAGTGGCCCCTGCCGAGGAGTGCACTCAGGGCCATGTCCCTGGGCCAGGCTGGCACAGGCCGCTGCCAGCAGGGGCACCCTCATTTTGGGGGTGATGTGACTGATGAGTGGGGGGGGGCGGCAGCATGGCACCTGGAGAGCTTCACTTCCTCAGCCGAGCTCCTCGCTGCCGGGCCTACCTTGTCTGCCACTCAGCATCCTCTTTGGCACGCTCCCTCCGGGCTTCCCTCTGCTTCTCTTCCAGCCGCTCCTTCTCCTGGCTGGCCAGATCTGGGGGCGAGCACACAGGTCACGAGGCCGCGGAAGCGCAGGTCGAGGCCGCAGAGGGGAGCACTGAGCAGTGCCGGGTGGACCCCCCCAGGTAGAGCCCCACGTGGCGAGTGGCCTGCACCGGGGCGGGGGCGCGTCGGCCCTACGCTCCGGCCTGCCCCAGCCCGCGCCTGCAGCGGGACCCGAGCCAGAGCGGGGCCGGGAGACCTCCCTGTGCCGGGCGAGGCCGCCGCCCGGGGGGAGCGCGTCACCGGTGCTGCAAGGCAGCGGCAGGCCAGGCGCATGTCCCCTCAGGCGGCCGCTCTATGCCACGGCACCAGCAGGGGGTGCCTACCCATGTCGCCATTCTCCATGCCCCGGATGTCGGGGCGCAGGCGGCAGTCCGTGGGGGCCAGGGTCTTCTCCATGCTGGTCTCCAGCTCATTGAGGCTGACAGCGAAACTGGTGAAGTTGTACATCTGGGGACGGGCAGGAGGGGTCCACAGGGCGTCCTGCCCGCCACCCAGCACAGCCATAGACGCCCCCAAGCCCGCAGGTGGCAGCAGCCGGGTCGCCCACAGAGGCTTCCTATCGCGGTCACCCAGGGCGGGGAGCGCCTGCTGCCCCACTCGAGCTGGGGCCTCTAGCCTGGGCCCAGGGTCCCCAGGGCGCCTGCCTCCCGACCAAGCCTCTGGAGGCCGCAACCCAGGGCAGGAAGCGCCCGCAACCTGATCCTGCCCCCAGATGCCCCCCCGGCACCCCACTGCTTGCCAGCCACGGTGCCCAGGTGCACCGTGCAGAAGTGCCCTTGGAGCCCGCCCCTCCGTGCCCTACACCCTCCTTCCCTCACCCCGGGCCATGCGGCCCTTGCACCAGTCTGCTGAGGGCTTCTCCAACACAGGCCACTGTGGCCCTGCAGCCTGACCCCTGCCCTCCCTTCAGACCCCCAGGGCCTCCCACCCCTGGCACCAAGGCCCCCCCTCAGGTCTCCAGCTCTGCTCCTGGCAACAGGGCTCAGGTCTAACAGGCAGGGAGCACTTCCTGACGTGGGAGGGAGTGTGGGGCTGGTCAGCTGAGGCCTGGCTCCAGGATAGGCCCAGACTTGGGGAGGGGTGGGTGTCAGGGTGGGGGGCACAGACCTGGGCAGAGTTGGGGGGCCGGGTGTTGACCCTCCAGAGTAGCTTGCTGCCTGGAATGACTTGCACGGTCTCCTGAGCCTCAGGCATGGCATCCACCACGTCGCCCTCAGTCTTGTGGGAGCCGCCATCCTGAAACGCAGGAGCCCTCAGACCAGGCACCACCAGGCAGCCCAAAACGGCGCCTCACACGTCCGGAGTCCGCTCCACCCTCGGGTGGGCCTGCCGCCTGCCTCCAGGCCCTGCAGTCTCTGTGGAGGGCTCTCCGGCGTGGCCCCGAGAGCAGGCAGCTGGCCAGCAGCAGGCCCCCTGTGCGCTGTGCTGGGCTTGCGGTCGGGGCCATGCCAGGGGCCGCGTGCTGCCTCCGCATCTGCAGCCCAACACGGCGGGCCCCATCTGAATGCAGGACATGGGGGTGCTCACAGCCGCCGGTGAGACGGGCCAGCGGCCCGCACAGAGCACAGGAGGACCCGGGCACAAGGCCCCTTCAAAGTCAGCTGCGTGGACGAGCGCCCAGAGGCGGCTGCTGCTGGTGGCGCGAGAACCCCTAGGGGCACCCCAAGGTGGCGCCCGCGGCTGTGACAGTGCTCACAACTGAGTGGCGGGTGCTCGCTCGGCCTCTGACTCTAAGCAGACAAAGGGCGGGGAGAGAGGATTTGGCCTCGGAAGTTTCCAGAATGCGGCACATCGGGTGCTGGAGGCCAAGAGAGCAGCCCCAGGTTCCTCCCGCCGCCAGTGTGGGTACAACCCGGCCCTCCACGGCCCGAGCCCTAGGCCAGCGCAGGCCCCAGGCGCCGTCCCAGCCCTCACCGGCTTCGCCTTCTTTGGGGGGTCACCCCGCCGCTCCTGCCGCCTGAAAGACTCGTAGGCAGCGGCGTCAATGCCCCACAGGCACTCTGTCCACTTGCCATAGATCACGAAGAGCTTCTTCCTGCTGGGGTCACCGGGGTTCAACAGCAAGTCAGCACAGCCACATCCCAGACCACCAAAATCCAAACCAGAAGCGCCTCAGCCCTGGGGACAGATATGCAGCAGGCGCCGTCCACACCTCAGGGCATCTCTGGACACCAAGCCGAAGACTTGCACCCCAAGGCCTCTGCTCATGGCCAGTAGGACTGTCAGTGGGGGAGCACCACGGCGGGGGGAGCCCGCCACAGGGGAGCACCACGGCAGGGGGTACCGCACAGGGGCGTAGGCAGGGCCGAGGGGGGTGCAGGGGTGTCGGGGGAGGCCGAGGGTGCATGCACACGTGCATGTGACTCGGAAACCCAGGGCTGAGCTGCGCCCGACGCTGCACACGTGTGGGCTGCGCCCATCAGTCTTTTCCCAGACGTGCATGAAGCGCCCTCCTCCCACACCGCTGCCTTCCCGCTGAGCACCCCCTGGAGCCGCCCCGGAGCAGCCGCCGCTCAGCGGGCAGTCGCCTATCCTCCCGGGACAGGCCCGCCTCCGCCCTCGGGGCCACCCTGGAGAAACTCCTAGGCACCGGCCCCTGCCCCTCCCAGACCGAGGACAGTGTCCCGAGGCCCGGCCCGCAGGACTCACTTCCGGTCCTGGATGTGGCCGTCCACCTTGTGCAGCTCCTTCCCGAACAGGCCGCACGGCCTGAAGTGCAGCACACACTTGTCCCCCGTCCTGCGGGAGAGCAGCAGGTCACGGCGGCTGAGAACGGAGCCACACGGCTCAGCTCTGGTGAGGGCAACCACCCTGCTGGGTCCAAGCCCAGGCCCGGGGGCCGGGAGGGCGGGGGCCTGCGAGGGGTCCGCAACCCCACGCACTGTGCAGGGCAGGGCACAGCGCGCCGCGGCGCTACCTGTGGTTCACGACCTCCACCGTGCCGTACTGCTCGATCCACAGCTTCCCGACCAGCACGTTGTGGACACAGCAGGTGGGGTTACTCCAGGTGTAGGCCTCCCCGTGCCTGGGGGGACACAACAGTCTGAGGCCCACACAAGGCAGCGGGGGAGTGCGCAGACCCGGGCAGGATGCCCAGGGCACCTTCCCGGAGGGGGGTAGGCAGCCTGGGAGCGCCCCGGAGCATCTCCTCAGCGTGCCTGAACCCCATTCCCTCCCTCTGTAGCGCGACAGAGCTTTCCACGGAGACACCAGGGCCAGCCAGCGGGCGGGAGGCTGGGCTGCAGGGAACGCGGGGGCAGCAGGGGGGGCGCGGGCACCACAGCATGCCCCACCCTGCCCGGCTGAAGTGGAGCCGGAGTGGGCCGGGCCCTGCCCCAAGCTGCTGCTGCGGGCCGTGGCACCGCGGCAGGAGGACACGGCAGTGACCACAGCACACGGGGAGGGCTCGACAGCCACAGCCAGTCCTGGCCCAGGCCCGCCCGCCTGACCCTGGGCGGGCCTCTGCGGCCTGAGCGGGGCGGCACTCACTCGAGCAGCTCCAGCGTGATGGTGCCGCGGGGCTCGGCCTCCACGCTCTTGCCCCAAAACTTGAGCTTGGGGTAGATGGAGCCATGCAGCAGGAAGTCCTGGTTGAGGCCCTCCGAGTAGAAGGCGCTGACGGGCGGGTGGTGGCTGACCTGCTCCGAGATGAACCTGAACCCCAGGTCCTCCCTGGGGGCCGGGAGAAAGAGTCACTTTTGCGGCAAAGCCCCACGCGGGAGCTCAACTTCCCTTTCGAGGATGTGGTGGCCCCAGACGTGGCCTGTCCCCCTCGCCGGGGAGGGACCCCCTGCTGCCGCATGAGGCCGAAACCGCCACGAGGCTGTGTCGCTGGGCAGGCCGGCCCACCCCACCACGGGCCACCTCTGGGGCGCGGCTCAGGCCGCACGCGGGCTGGGGGAGACCCCACCCCCGTGCCCCTCAAGCCCCCGGCCAGGCTCAGCCTCGCTCCTGCTCCAGGCCCCACAGGCCGCAGCCCAGCAGCTCCTCCGAGGGGGCTGGAGGCCCACAGCACGCCGGCCCTCGGCCCCCAGGCCCCGGCTTCGCGGCGCGTGCCCGAGGCGCTGCTCGCCAGGAAGCAGGGACTGCAGCGCGCTCTCCTTTGCAATAAAAATGTCAGTTTTTAATTGTTCCGGAACTGTGACTACACCTCCAGTTGTAGTCATTAAAAATTATAAAAGCTAAACCACATAATTACTAACTTAACTGGAATCAGAATTTTCCATCGTTCCAGAGGAAGCAAGTAAAAAAATCAGATTTTAAAAGGTTGCCTGCCGAGGCATGTAATTTACAAAATGATCACTTGTCTCGGGAGGGGCGTGTTATTCCTGGCTGCTCGGGGTCTGTGGGCGAGCGGCATGGGGGCCGGGCCAGGGTCTGGGAGGGGCGCCCGCCACCCCCGGCTGTGTGGCCTCAGGGCAAGCCCCGAACTAAGTTCCCCCGGCCTGCGGCGTCTGGGTGCCCACAAAGCCCCCTGAGCCTTCCCAGCGCTTTGGCCACCTAAAGCCTGGCGCTGACACGCACGGGCCGCCCCTCGCGCTCAGGCCCATGGCCCCCGGGCCCTCCCTCCACGGCTCCGGGCTGTGGCGGGCGCCACCCCGCTCTCTTCCTCAGAGGCCACGCGCCCGGGAGCAGCTGCCGGGCACGGGCACGGGCCCCGTCAGGACTCGCCCCCACACAGGGCTGAGGTGGGCCCGGGATGGGGTCAGGCTGAGGTGGCCTCTCGGGATGGGGTCAGGTGAGGATGCTGCTTCTGGCCAGACCCTGAGTTCCCAGTGAGGACCATCCGTCCTAAGGGGTCTGAACCCAGCGCTGACCCCCTCAAAGCCCCTCACCCCTGGGGGGCTGACCACACCAAGCCCCACCATACCATCGTCCACCCTGGAAAGCCCTCCATCCTCCAGAACGCACCCCGCAGCCGGGATCTACAATGCTGGGGACCCTCTCCCTGAGTCCCGGGGTGCCACCCCCCCCACTGTCTTATTTGCGCTGCAAGCTGACTCCTGGCAGCTGATGCCCCACATTGCAGCGTGTCCACGGCCACGAGATGCTTCCCTCAGGTACACTGCACATGGGGGGCCACCAGGTGGCTGGGGGGGGGCTGCACACCTGCCCCACACTGGAAAGCCGGCCAGGGGGAGCCTCCCACTGCAGCCCCCCCCTTCTTCTGCTGTGCTCACGTATTGTCTACAATGACCGCACTCTCATGACTTAAAGAAAATGTCCTGAGGGTCGGGACCCACAGGCGGAGGCGCTCTTGCCCTTGAGGCTCCCCGTGCCCTCCCGCTGGCCAGGCGGGGACGCCACGACCTGACCGCTGGTGGACAGCTGGGGTGCTGTGAGCAGGGCCGCAGGAGCCGGGCCTGGGGCGCTGGGGCAGCACGGGGTGGAGGGCCGGACGCGCTCGTGCCCGCTCGGGCTCAGCACCAAGTAGCTTCCCACCCCGGGATGGCCAGCGGCCCGGCCCGTACCTGATCAGCTCGTACGTCTCTCCCAGCAGCGGATTGAAGGGCTTGCCGGTCCTCTCCCACTGGGAAGCCACGGCCGACACGGCGAAGGCGGCCACAGACTGCAAGCAGAGGCCAGGGCCGGCGGGCCGGGCGGGGCGGGTCAGTTCCTGCCCGCTGCTCCCTCCGGTGACTTCCCACCATCCTCGTAACACATCGAGGTTACAGAGCTTCCGGAAAACACGCTCACCGCCACTTCCTCAAGGCCACAGAGCAGGAACCCGCTGTTCTGCACACCCCCCCGCACCCACGTCCTGCACCCGCACCCCACACCTGTACCCGCACCCCAACTGTACCCCATATCTGCACCCACACCCCACACCTGCACCCACACCCCACACCTGCACCTGCACTCCACACCTGCACCCACACTCCACACCTGCACCAGTCTGGGCCCTCCTGCAGCCCTCTGGCAGCCTCGGTCTGTCCGGCTCACATGCACACACTCATGCACACGCGTGTGCCCCTGCACGCTCGCAGCACACAGGCAGGTGCGTGCACAAGAAGACTCCAAGCCAGAGGCTGCCCCAGGTGCAGGCTCCTCCCACAGCCCCGCCAACCCAGGTGGGTGCAGCCCGGGAGGTCAGGAGGGGGACGGGGGCCCACCTGCATACGCTCCAGGGGCTGCGCCTGGCGGGAGGCCCTGTGCAGCAGGTGCACGTGCTCCATGTACTCGGTGATGCGCTGCAGGAAGCTCAAGGGCTCGTTGAAGGCGACAGGCATGGTGATCTTGGACAGCTCCTGCGGCCAGATGCCCAGGTCACGCCCGGAACAAGCCCCAGCCACCCCTCAGGCTGCAGCTTCCTGGGGGCACCCCACGGCGAGCCTTTGCATGGAGGGGAGGCCCCCCACGGGGCAGCCCAGTGGGACGTCCACACCAGACAGCCCCTGCAGCAGCCCCCACGCCCACATGTGCTTCAGGCTGCTCGGGGCTGGGGTCCCACGGCAGAGTCCCCCAAATCCCGAAGCACCATCATGAGTGCCCCATCACTCCAGATGGCTGGGAGACCCCCACAGCAGGCCCCATGCGGCTCTGCCCACAGGCCCTCCAGGTGCCTGCCTCAGCTAGGCCGGCAGAGCAGCCGGGGAGACCCAGGACGAGCACCCTGGGGTGGGGATCAGAGGCCCAGGGGGAGGGGCAATGGGTGCCAGGAGCCGGCCCCAGGCACCCCGGCAGACACAGCACCCAGGGGCCCCTGGGTGCACAGGCTTAGCGACTGTCCCAAGGAAACCGGGTGCCCCAGGCCCGCAGGTAGGGTGAGGGGCCAGCGGGCGATCGGCAGGAGGAAGAAGAGCGCTCGCTGCGCCCTCAGCCCCGCCTGGACCGGGGCGGCAGGGGCAGGGCAGGCACCTGAGTCCTCAAACTGATCTCCGAGGAGCGAGAGGACTTCGGACTTGCACTTTTAAGACAAAAGGAACTTTCAGAGCAACCTCTAAACATCAAGGATCAAGAGGACAAAGCAGCTCCTGGGGCACAGCCCCCCCCAAGAGGAGCCGCGAGCCCAGAGGACAGGGCGGCAGAGGCACTGGGCCTCAGTGGGCAGTGTGGGAGGGACAGAGCCAGCGGCCAGTCCCGTGGATCTCCCCCAAGCCACCCCTGCTGCTGGGCTGTGTGGGGGGGGGGGGCTGGGCTGTTGGGGGCTGGGCAGTGTTGGGGTGGGGGCTGGGCTGGCGGGTGGGGGAGGCAGACTCAGGAGAGGGGAGGCTTGATATTGGTCAGCACAGCTGCTGTGGCTCCCGGGAAGGCCTGGAGGGCAGCTGGGGCACCCCTCAGCACGCTGGGCCGCCGCACTCCCCAGCAGGAAGGGGGTGAGCGCCAGCGGCCCTCCGCGCACGCACCAGGCCGATGCACTTCTTCAGGATGCTCCACATGCTGAAGTCGCTCCTGGTGAACATGGGGGCGGGCAGCGCCGTCCTGCGGGAGGTGGGCGGGTGGGGTGAGCCAGGCCAGGCCTGCCGGCTGCTCTGCACACGAGCAGCTGCACCCCCCAGCTCAGGGCGCAGCAGCCAGGCGCCACCAAACCCAAGAGGTTTCTAGGGACATTTTGGGGGCCCCACTGGGGATAGTGCGCCACAGCCAGCCACATGGCACAGCGCTGGGACAGCCACGGCCACGGCCCAGGGCAACAAGACCAGGCCAGAGGCCAAGCCCTCTCCAGAGACTATCCCGGGCACCTCCCTTCTTCAGCCAGCAGTGCCAGGGGGCCTCTCAGGCAGGGGCATCCGCGTAGCCAGTTCTGAGTTCGCGGCCCCGCGGGCTCCAGCCCATAGAGTGGCGGCGGCTCGCTCCAGCAGACCCTGCCCTGGGGGGGGGGGGGGGGGGGGGGGGCAGCAAGAGGCCTGATATCCCGAGTGCCGCGTGTCAGGCTCCTGGCGGCCAACACCCCAGGGCACCCCAGCAGGCCAGACTGCGAGGGCACCCCAGGACCGGAGCAGGGCTCTGGGAGGTCCAGACCAAGGCACGGCACCCCGCATGGCCACAGGGCAGAGGGTGGGAGCCGAAGGGCGCAGGGGGAGAGGGGCCCGGCAGACACGCCCGACGTGGAGAGGCCGGGAGCCCCTTGGGACCCGCGGCTGGCCCAGGGACAACAGGCAGAGGGGTCGGGGCAAGTGGCCCGGTGCTGGCCGCACCCCAGGAGGAGGGCCCACCACCGCGCCCCCAGGAAAGGGATGTGTGAGCCACCACGCGGGCTGGGACAGAGGCTGTGCCCAGGGGGCACTGCGGAGAAGCAGGGGGTGCCGCGGGGCGCTGGGGCCGCAGAGGCCCACTCAGGAGGCAACCTGATCACTCCTGCCCGGGCCAGAGGGACGCGGGCGCCCCACACTTCCCAGCCCTGACTACAGGGCCCCAGGCGCAGGCAGGCTGGGGTGCCTCTGGGGCGGCGGGCGGGGGGGTGAACCCCACGGCGCATCTCACACCGCCGCCCACCACTGTGCCGGGCAGGCTCCCTGCTGAGGCCAGCCGGGCTCGGGCAGAGCAGAGGGCCCAGGAGGGCGCTCACGAGCAGAGGTGGGGCGGCCGGGCCTCCACTGACCACGCAGCCAGCAGACCGCCGGGAGGCCCTCAAGCCGGGGCCACATACCTGTGCTTCTGGAGTCCGTTCTCTTGAGGGGTCCGCTCCCCAACCTTTCCAACCCCATTGCTTCTGCCGGGGTCCACGTGGATCACCCCGGGGACTCTAGGCGTCGCCTCTGAAAATCCCTCAGGAGAGTGGCTGGAGGCAAGGCCTGCAGGAGACGAGGGTGTTCCCGCAGCCGCGGTGGCCTGCAGGGGTGGGTGCGCGGACTCCCCCGACGGCCGGCAGCGGGACACCCCGGCAGGGGCGGGGCAGGTGTGTGGGGCTGCGCGTGTGGTGGCGGCTGCGCGTCCCCCCAGGCCTCAGGCGCCCTCTCCCCGGCTCCAGGCCAGGATCCAGCCCCCGCCCATGTGATCCGCCAGCCCGCAGGCCGCACTCACCCGTCAGGGCGTCGAAGAACTCGCCGTCACCGTCCATGCTGCAGCCCCACGCGGCCGCCGGCCCGGCCGTCACATGGGCGGGGGCTGGATCCTGGCCTGGAGCCGGGGAGAGGGCGCCTGAGGGGGCGGCAGCCGCGATGGGGCTGCACGGACCCCGCCAACCACAACGTCTGGGCGACCCGCGAGGGGGGCGGGGAGCCTTGAGAGCAGCGTCCCGTGGCCCCCCGCCCCTGCACGCCCCATGCCCCAGTGCCCCGAGCGGCACAAACCGCTTGGCCTCAGCTCACACTGCCACGCGGGCACAACCTGGGTGAGAGGAAGACAACTGCTGGCCCCCAAGGCCCGCCCCCGTGAGGGTCCGGAGCCCCTGCCAGCACGCCCTCTGCCTGGGGGGTGGTCCCTGGAGGAGAGCCGGTAGCTACGAACAAAGCGGGGGGGCAGTCTGAGGCTCCCTCCCCCTGGTCTTCCCCATTCTCCCATCAGCCCAGGGACACTGGACGCTGTAAAGCTTCTGGAAACATCCATATGAGCCTCACACACAGCTGCGAGGTCTGCCTGCCTGACAAGCAGAGACACCACGGTCACACCAACGCCCTTGGACACAGGCCCCCGCAGCCTGCCATGTGCCCTCGCGGCGCTGCGAGGACCCGGCCCGAGGAGAGAGGCGCGTCCAGGACGGCCGCAGACAGCACCGCCGGCCACAGCAAGGCCCTGGGGTGGGCCCCGGAGGCTCCCACCGCAGCCACAGAGCCACAGGCCCAGCAGGGCACCGTCTGTCCTACGAGACTCTGCCTCTTGGCCACGGCCCAGCCCTGCCCACGACCTGCCGCCACCCGAACCAGCATGTGCCTCGGGGAGGGACACGGCCGCCTCTGAAGCAGCCGCAAGGACTTGCGACTAAGAGTCCCTGCCTTTAACTGCCAACCTCAGGGGCACAAAAGCAGAAGACAGAGGACACACGACACCAGCCCAGGGACACGGGCGACACGGCCAGGCTCTGGTCTGCAGGACAAAAGCCAGCTCTGCCACCAGTCATCACAGAGAGACAGAAAGACAGAGACAGACAGACACCGAGACAGACAGCAAGACAGCACCAGGAAGGGCGAGCCTCGCATGTCATGGCGCTTGCGGGCTTCCTAACGGGCCTCAGACTAGAGCCCGGGGAGGCAGAGCCCCGCAGGTCAGACCCGGCTTCTTCAAATAACGTGCAGAAAAGAAGCAGAGGCGGGGCCTCCCCATCTCGGCCGGGTCTGTGGTGTGACGCGTGTGGACGCGCCTCGAAACTCACTGCCACTGAATGTGCCATTTATTGAATGTCAACTGTGCCTCGAAAAAGTCACTTTCAAAAAAAAGGTGTCGGTGCCATAACAGCATTTAGGTTTGAGCCGCACAGCACATGGACGGACTCATGAGACGTCTGAGCTTTCTTCAAAACACCCGGGGCGGCGGGTATGTCTCGTCTCTGTAAAAACAGGTGTGACAACCTAGAACACAGCTGCACAGAGTAAAAAAAGCACAAAACCATAGGAATGACCTACTTCTGCAGTTAAATATCACTTGTGAACTTCATTGTTCAAAACAGTATAAATTATATTTAATAAGATAAGGCCACATTAGCAAGCAACAGCTGGGCAGAAGTTAGGAAGCAGAGGACTTGGCGCCACCAGACACCAAGCAGTTCTGACAGACATGCACAGAGCACCCCCCACCACCAGCACAGGCTCCTGTGCACAGAGGACAGTGTCCAAGATGGACTACAGGTGGGACCACAGGTGACGTCTCCACGGATTAAAATAGAGGTGATACAAGCATCTTCTCCACTAAATATAAGAAGATGAACTTAGAACTCAGAAACACAAGCTGGAACTCTCACAAAATTGTGCCAATTAAATAACATTCTCTTAAACAATGAATGAATCAAAAAAGACATCACAAGGAAATTAGAAAACATTTAGAATGAGTGACTATGAAAGCAGAGCACACGCGAACATACGGAACACAGCGAAGGCAGCAGGAGGGAAATCTACCACACTCACAATAAAGCCAGAACGCCCTCAAATCAACCACCTCGGTCTCTAACTGGACAAAGAGAAAAAGAACAAATACCAAAGCTAGAAGAAAGAAGGAAATTATAAAGGTAGAGCAGAAGTAAATAGGAAATAGAGAAAAATCAGTGAAACCAAAAGTTGGTTCTTTGAAAAGATCAACAAAATTGACAACCTTCAGCTAGATGGACGGAAATCAGAAACGAAGCGGGGACATGACTAGCAACCCTACAAACGTAGAAAGGGGTGCCAGAGAGTGCGACGGACAGGTGAGCACTAACACAGGATCACCCAGGAGACATGGACACCGTCCTAGAGACAAAACCTACCGAGACTAAATCATGAAGAAAAGAGACTGCGAATAGACCAGTGACAAGAAATCAAATCAGTGGTCAAACTACTCTTTTTTTTTTAATAATTTATTTTATATAATTCTTACATCATTTTTCATCAAACTACTCTTGATCAAGGAAAAATCCCTGAACCTAGGCCTCCCCGGTGGCGCAGCAGGTTGAGGGCGGGCCGTGAACCTGTCGGCTGTCTCTGCCGCGCGGGTTCGATCCCCGGCTGGCCAGGGAGAAACCCGCAGGGCGCAGCAGACCTCTCCTGACTCACCCGCTGCTCCCCTCAGCAGGGTATTTCCAGTCAGTCTGCCTGTTCTGCTCCCCACTCTGTCTCTGGGGGATCCTCTCACACACACGCCCACCCCACATCTCTGGCCTGTGCCCCAGCTCTTGTATGCATAAATAAACTCTTTAAAAAAAAAGAAAAGGAAAGAAAAAGAAAAATCCCTGAACCTGATGGCTTCCCCAGTGAATTCTACCAAACAGTTAAAAGAAAAAAACTACACCAATTCTCTTCAGATTGTCCCAAAAAAATGAAAAAGAAAGAACACCTTCTAACTCATACTGTGAGGGCAGCAGGATCCTGATACCAAAGCCAAAGACACAACAACAACAAAAAAAGGCAGAGTAATCTCTCTTCTGTTTTTTTTTTTTTTTAAAGATTTATTTATTTATGCGTACAAGAACTGGGGCACAGGCCAGAGGTGTGGGGTTGGGGGGTGAGAGGACTCCCCAGGGACAGAGTGGGGAGCAGAACAGGCAGAGCCAGTGAAACGCACTGCTGGGGGGAGCAGCGGGGAGACAGGAGGGGTCTGCTGCGCCCTGTGGGCAGCTCCCTGGCCGGGGATCGAACTCGTGCTGCAGAGGCTGCGGACAGCTGCGTAGTGCGGTGCCCAACCCCTTGCGCCCCCAGGGAGACCCTAATCTCTCTTCTGAAGCCAGAAGCAAAATTCTCAACAAAATGCCAGCAAATCCCACACACTTGGCAGCACAGGAGGAAGCCGCGTGCCGTGACCAGGTGTGGCCTGTTCCTGGAGTGCAAGGGTGGGTGGCCAGGGTGTCGCTGGGTGTGATTCATGCCACAGTAACCGAGTGAAGGGGGAGAAAGTGACAATCTCGAGAAAAATCTGACAAAATCCAGTACGTTCTCATGATGAAGTTACTGAGACAGGAGCGGAAGCGGGGACTCGCCATTTTCTCACGATCCTCCACCAGGGTCCCAAGCCGCTCCAATTCAGAGGAAGCTTCTCCTCCGACAGTGCAAAGGGGAAAAAATTCCCCACTCACATCCCCGGGGAAAGCCAGCAACAAGCCCGCGAGAGCGATGAAATACCTGGATGCCGCAAAGGCGACACGTGCCGAGCCCTCGGGGAGGGCCACGGTCAGGGGTGAAGACTGAGGCCTTCCTCGCAGGCCGGGGCAGGGGCCCTGCTTTTGCTGATTCTATTCAGCATGACGCTAGACGGCCTGGCCAGAGGCATTAGGTTAGAAAAATAAACTACAGGTACCCAAGCCAGGAGGAAATAAATGAAATTTTCTTTGATTGCAGACGACATCACCTTATATGTAGAAAATTGTAAAGATTCCATATTTAAAAAAAACCTGTTAGAGCTGATAAAAGCCAGTGAAGTAGCTGCACAGAGTGAGCACACAAACCTCAGCACCTGCAAACACTGACAATGAACAACCTAAAAGGAAATCGCAACAATTCCATTTACAATAGCGTTAAAAGGAGTAAAGGATTTAAGGGTTAACTTAATAAGGGGAGAAAGACTTCTGTGGGGGCCTCCCTGGTGGCGCAAGGGGTTACGATGCAGCTGTCCTCAGCCTCTGCAACAGTTCGATCCCCGGCCAGGGAGCGACCCACATGGCACGGCAGACCTCTCCTGTCTCCCCGCTGCTCCCCTCAGCAGTGCGCTTTGGTCAATCGGCCTGTTCTGTTCCCCGCTCTATCTCTGGGGAGTCCTCTCACCCCCGCACCTCTGGCCTGTACCCCAGTTCTTACATGCATAAATAAACATAAATCTTTTAAAAAAAAAAAAAGGAAAGACTTCTGTAGTGAAAACTCTGCAGGATGACAGAAAGCAATCGAGACAAGGGCGGCAGCACCCCATAGAGGGGTCTGAAGCGCACGCTCCAGCTGTGAGCGCCGCCCACGCGCTGACAGGCAATGCAACCCCTGGGCAAACCCCAAGGTCATTCCTCATCAACAGGAAGACTCTTCCTAAAACGCACATGGAGCACAAGAGGCCCAGAGAGCCTGAACTGACTTGAAAAAGAGGAACAGCTGCAGGCGTCACACTTCCCAGCTGCGACCCGACTGACGAGAGCAGCGCGGTGCCAGCGCACAGGCGGGCTCATCTTCGCAGAGGAGAGTCCAGACCCAACCCGGCACACGTCTGGCCACATGAAGTCCTGCAAGGGGCCTCCCCCAGAGGCGCCCTTCAAGCCTGAAGGAAGATGAAGCCCCACTCCCCTGTGACTGGGAAGACCCGTAGCAGAAGCCCAGGGCAACCCCTCTCGGGCCACGGGGACCTCTCCAAAGGCCGCGTGTGCCTGTAGCTCCAGCCCCCGCCTGTGGTGCCAGGGCACTGGTCTGCTGGTTGCTCATCCAAGCACCCCAAGTGTCAGGGGCCAGGGGAAGGAATCAGAGCGGCCTCCGGACATGGGTCCCTTCTGCGTGGGCGGTGTCCTGTCCTGGCAGGGGGGACTTGCGGCTCCACGAGGCACCAAGAGGCACCAGCGGGCCTGCCCCAGCTCCGCAGGTCTGCAGCGGGGCACTCGGCCACTGCGCCCTGAAGCTCCCAGCCTGGCAGCCGCAGATGCCAACTCTGCAGGAGCAGGGCCACGTCACACGGGCCTGCACTGGGCCCGGAGTGAGTCCATGCGAGAGAAAGTCCCTAGACTCGACGCAGGAAAGCGGGGTCCAGTCAGGCTGTGCAGACCCCTCCACCCCTCCAGGCGCCTGCAGCCCCAGGTCAGAGCTCCAACCGCACCTCCTGCTGGGGCCGCCCCCCGCAGGACTCTCGCCCCCAGGCCGCCCGCTCCACTCCCTCATGTGCTTGTCACTCTGCAGGGAGTGACCAAAAGCAGACCTGGACGGGCCCAGCCCGCAGGAGGCGGCCGAACCCTGCCCCCCCGCAGTGTGTTTTAATCAACCCAACACAGACCCTGGAGCGTGGGCTGCAGCCCCGGGGCCCCCGCCCGCCTGCGTGCCCACCCCGCCTCCACCAGAGCCCGCGCAGCCGCCCTCGCCGGCGTCCGCCCCTCCGGCCTGCCCTGGCACTCCGGGCACTGGCCCGCCCGACTCCGTGTGCTGGCATGAACCCGGGGTGGGCGCCCACGCCCAGGTGTGGGAAACCCACCAATATCCAAACCTTCCCCCGAAAGAGAAAAGGGAAAGCCGCAGGACCCACGCCGGCTCCCGGTCCCCCAGAGAGGCGGCGCGGGCTCTTCACCAGGACCTCAGGGGGGCCCGAGCCAGAACGGGCCAGGACCCCACGGTGCGTCCCAGGTGGGGGGGCACGACAGCCACTTTGTAATCTCAGGGGCCGCTGAGCCTCCTCTGGACCTCAGGGTCTGACAGCACAGGAGGGGGCTGCAGAGTGCAGGGGGTCCTGAGAAGACCCTTCTCACACCCGCACCCCCATGCACCCCGGCTGGGACAAGCCGCCTCTGAGAGCTGCCAAGCCCAGCGGGGGACGCTGGTAAAGGCCTGAGCCCAGAGGGCAGGCGGGTCTGCCCCCGGCAAGCACCCTCGTCCCCGCTGCCGCCCGTGCCCGGCGCTCCTGAAAAGACGGCGTGGCTCCCAGCGGCCGTCCGCAGCCCCAGGCCGGGCTCACTCATGCCAAGGCTGCACGGGGTCTCCCCGACACGGAGCACACAGGCTCGGCCAGGCGCCCCGCACGTGCGGGCAGCTCCCCCACGGCCCTTCGAGGGTCCGTGGCCCGGAGCCCCAGGGGCCAGAGGGACCCGGCGATGCACCTTGGCGCCTGACAATTGACCCTGTGAAGGAAGGGGGTGCCTCAAGCTCACGACACACCCGAGGGGCCGTGTGACCCCATTTAGAAGGAGGGCTGCAGGGGGCCTCTGCTCAGCACCCCGGGCTGGGCCCTGCCGGCCTGCGGTGGGGCCGAGACAGCTACCCCGGGGCTCGCAGCAGCAGGCTCGGGACAGGCAGGAGCTGCAGCATGGGCTGTGGGGCGCCCGCCGTGAGCAGGACCCGAGGCTGCCGCCTCGAGGGGTCGGTCTTGTTCCAGCGGCAACTTCCTTTTCCACGGAAGGCGGCAATCGGCCCTCAGGTGCGGCACGTCTGGGGCCTGAGCCTCGTCCTTGCCAACCAGCGCGAAACTCAGAAGGCGTGTGACAGGCGGGGCGTGTGAGCAGGCCCGAGGCGCCCCTGTGCCTCAGGCCCACCGTTCGGGGACCCCGGCACAGCCTCCCCAAGAGCGCAACTCAGGGCTTTGCCAGTGGCAGCTGGGCCCGGGCAGCGCGTCAGCGGCCCAGCCCGGCCACACTCAGTGGGGACAGAGGCCTCTGGGCCCTGCCAAAGCCTGGCCTCTCTCCCTGCACTACACACGCCCTCCCGATGACCCTCCGAGGGCACAGTCCCGCCGGCGCAGGGCGCTTTCCTCCCACCGAGCCAGACCACGCAGGCCCAAGAGCCCCAGCCTGGGCCCCATGCAGCCCCAGAACCGCACTCTCGAGCGGGGGACAGCAGCACCCCGCGCCAGGCCAGACCCCTAGGGAAGGCCTGGGCTCCCCGACACCGAGGAAGCGAAGGCAAGAGACAGCAGACCTCTGCCCAAGACAGAAGAGCGCAGGACCGGCTCACCCCCGCGAGGAGCCCCGTCATAGGGAGGCGGGCGGCACAGTTATAAGGGGGAGGGTGGCAGGAGCAAGTCCCAACTCAGGGCATTTCCCAGGGGTGCCCAGGGTTAGAGAACTGGGCACAAACCAGATGCTGCGGCAGCCCCACTCGGGCAAAGTGCCCCGCGGGAGGCTGCCCCTCGAGACGGGCAGGGCCGGCCTGCCCGGGGCAGCTCTGAAGGGCTGACTTCTAGTCCCGGACTCGGCAGCTGCCCTCCAGACCGTGCCCGCCCCGCCAGCCCCAGCCACCTGCTGAGACCAAGCCCGAGCCAGCCGGGACCACAGGGGCCTGGGTGCCGCCTGGGGACGACGCGCACGAGAAGAGACAAACACTCGGACTCAGAAGGAAAACCTGCAGCTCCCCACGCTCCGGGGAGCCGCCAGCACACTGGGGTGTTCTCAAGAAACATGCTTAGGGGGGCCTCCCTGGGGCGTGGGGGTCAGTCTCAGCACTATGAGGCTATCTGCAGCCCCTGCGGCCTGCGGCCATCCCCGGCCAGGGAATGACCCTGCGGGCGCGGCCGTCCTCTCCTGCCTCCCGCTGCCCCCGCAGCAGTGGATTCCAGTGGATCTGCCACTGCACCCCACTCTGTCTCTGGGGAATCCTCTCACCCCCGCACCTTGGCCTACACCCCAGTTACTGCATAAATAAATAAAATAAATATTTTTTAAAAGAAACACGCCACGGACATTGCAATGCTGTGGCGACTTAACCCCCAGCTCCATGATGTCACCAAGTGCCCGAGACCAAGGTCCAGGGCTTCTCTGGCGCCCCACTTGCTGGGACTGTGTGTGGCGGCTGGGAGGACAGCACGGTCGGGGAGAGCAGGGTGCTCCCGGGGCCCGCGGCCTCAGTGCCAGTCGGCCACCTGGGGCAGGAGCGGTTATGAACAGGGAGAAGCAAGCCCTGGCCAGGGTCAGCTTCCAGCGCTGACACCGCCAGCCGGGCTGGCTTGGGTGGAAGCGCCACCGAGGAGGCTGCCGGCAGCAAGGGCAGGGGAGCCCCGGGGAGCCTCTCCTTCCACCTGCTGCTCCCTGGGCCCGGGCGGAGGCTCTCCAGGGCTGGCGGGGCGGGAGGCCCACTGTCTGGCACGGAGGCCCTGAGAAGGGCTGTGGAGCCCAACTGACCACCGCTGGGACCGCAGGTGGACGGAGCGCGGGACGCGAGAGTGGGGCTAGCTCCAGAGCTGGTCCCAGAGCCGCAGTCCCGGGCGGGCATGGCCTCGTGCTGGCAGGGCCGCTTGGGAGACGCCGCCCCGGTCCCAGGAAACTCTGCAGTCTCACTCCAGCCGCAGGAAGGACGCTGAGGGGAGGCAGGGCCGCCTCCCACCCGGGCTATCACCCCGCACCCAGCACCCCGCGCCTGGTACCCAGTGCCAGGCCACTCCGCGCCCGGCACCCCATGCCTGGCACCCGGCGCCAGGCCACCCAGCGCCAGGCCACCTGGCATCCGGCACCCTGTGCCAGGCCACTCCGCGCCCGGCACCCCATGCCCGGCACCCCGCGCCAGGCCACCCAGCACCCCGCTCCCGGCACCCTGCGCCAGGACACCCGGCGCCCGGCACCCCGCGCCAGGCCACCCGGCGCCCGGCACCCCGCGCCAGGCGGGCGAGCGCTCGGACCCCGCCGGGCGCGCACAGGGGCCCGGGCGGGGCTTCGGGGCGCAGCGCGTCCCCTGGGCCGGGCCGCCTCGGAGGCGGAGCCGCGCCCTGAGCCCCGCGGGCGCCGGCCGAGCCCTCGAGCCCCCGCGCCGGCCCTGCGGCTGCCCACCCGGGCCCGCCGGGCAGCGGCTCGCCGACCCGGGCGCAGCCTCCGGGACGCGGGCCCGCGGCGCCCGGCCCGGCCCGGCCCTTCGCGCGCCCCCGCGCCCCCAGGTGTCCCCGGCCCGGCCGCGCGGCGGGGACGGGGCGCGGGGCTCCGCTTCCCGCCGGCCCGGCCCGGCCCGGCCCGGCCGCCCGCCGCCAGGCCCGCCCGCCAGCCCGAGGCCGGGCGCCGCTCCCCGCGCCCCGCGCCGCGCGCTCACCTGGACCGCGAGTCCCTCCCGCACCGGCCGCGCCCGCCGCCCGCTCCGCCCCCGCCCCGCAGGCCAGCGACCCACTGACACCGAGGCGGAAGTGCAGCCGGCCGCTCTGCCGATTGACGGCCGCGTTCGCCACTCGCTGCGCCCGGCGCCGTCGCGTCGCCCGCCGCCTGGCCAATCAGCGCCCGGCCCGAGGGGCGCACCGGGAGGCGGGACTATGCTAATAACGTCGCCGGAGCGACTACACCCGCGGCCCCGCAGGAGCCCCGCCCACACGGAGGAGTGACGACGCGGGCAGCCTACCACAGCGGCGAGGGGCGGGGTTATGCAGATATAGACCCGAAAGGGGCGGGCGGGCGGGAGGAAGGGGCGTGGCTGCCGGGACGCGTTTACAAACAGGCGTCAGGTGGCCTGGGCGGGGCGCGCGGACCAGGTGACCGCCCCCCCGCCCGGGGACGGCCTGGGCGTGCCCCCAAGACCCGCCTCAGCTCCCCGCCGTCGCCCCTCCTCGCCCGCGCTCGCTGATCCCCCGCGCCCGGCGCCCTTCGCCTCCGCCGCGGGCCCCGCCGAGCGCTGGGCTCGGGGAGCCGGAGCCGGCGCCAGGGGCCGCCTCGCGTCCCGCGGGCCGTGTGCCGGGGCAGGTGTCCGCCTCCGAGCCCCGGCTTCCCCGCGCCTCCCCTGCGAGCAGTGGGAGACAACTCAGCTGCCTCGGGGCTGCCCCAGGACAGGCGGGTGACCTGGTCACTGAGGGTCCTCCCTGGAACTTTGGGGTCTGAGAACTCAGACCAGAGGGGAGACTACGGTCAACCACTGCCCCTTCTGCCACAAACGCCCCCAGAACTGTGCTAGGTGATGAAAGGTGAAAGTCTGGCCTCCCGGTGGGCATCTTGGGCCTGGGGGGTGGGGGCGGGACTGGGAACAATGCCCCCGGAAAGCAGGAGCAGACCCCCAAGTCAGCCAGGCCCTGAGCCCCGCTAGGATACACACCACTGCATCGCCTCCTCTGCTCAGGCCCCACTGAGGTGGGACCAAGGGAGTGGGGGGCCTCCAGCACCCCCAGAGGCACTGGCACCACCAGGGATCTCTGGCCGCCTGTCCCAGGTGGGCCTCTGCCCACCCTTCAGCTAAGTGGACACTGGCACACAGGTCATCCTAGGGGACCGCCTCAGGGGAAGGGGCAGGCCTTGGTGGCCACTGTGGCTCCTGCGAAGCCTGTGCCCCTTGAATGCCAGTGGGGGGAGTGGATGAGCCTTCAGTGGCAGGTGTGGGGCCCAGAAAACCAGCCGTCCCCCAAGTCGGGCTGGCACGGCTTGCGGTGGGCCCGCTGTCAGCTGGCGCCCAGACGTGCAGAGACTGAGAAGGAGCTCTCCCAGCCTCTGCTGAAGAGGGAAACCGGAGGGAGGCGGGCCGGGCTCAGAAACAAAGGCGTTGCCATGGTTACCCCCAAGAAACAGACTCCAGCTGGAGAGAGGGAAGGGTGCGGTGTGCAGGCCCCAAGCCTGGACAAGGACAAGGCTGGTTGCCATGGAGATGCTCTGAAGCTTCTCGTGGGTCTGACCCGAGTCCAGCGCCCGTCCTGGAAACCACCCCCTCCCCCCACACTGACGACCCTGAGACTCTGACCCTGGGCACCTCACCCCCATCACGGGCTCGGGCTCCTACAGCATCAGGGGCTCGAGCCTTAGGAGAGGCCGGTGTCCAGCGGACCCTCCAGGACTGAGCTTGGCCTCCCCCCCGGTCTCGGGTGCACGGCCCGGTATGCGGGCCCACCTTCCTCAGCAGGTGCCGTACACTGGGCTCCAGGCGCTGCTGCTTCCTCCTCCTGAGCCGCTGGGCCGGACTGGTGGTCAGGCGGGCAGAGCCTCGGGCCACTCGGGGGCAGCTTCCATGGTCTTCCCCGGTGGAGCGGCCGGGCAAAGGCCGGAAGGCAGGAACCGAAGACCAGGCCCGGGGGTCACATGCGACGGAGTGAACAGTGACGCCCGTGTGCAGTGGGTGTCCTGCCATCACCCCACTTCACAGAGGGGCAGGCCGAGCCTCCGCGGCTGCTGGGGACCAGCCACACTGCAGCCTGGCCGGCTTGGGGCTCGTGAGGAAGGAGACTGCTCCCCGGCTGGGCTGTGCCTGAATGGGGTCCTGGGCCCTGGGTAGGGCTTTCGGGCTGACCGATGACCTGCCCGTGGGGCTGTCCTGGTGTCCCCTGGCTGGGGGGGGCGCGCGGGATCCTGGACTGGGTCAGGGAGCAGCCACCCCCACCCTGAGCACGCGGCCCGCCCGCTCCATCCCCGTGTGCACGCTCGAGTGTGAGAAGTGTTGTCTAGGGGTAAGTTTGGGGGCACGTGTGACCCCTGAACTGCTCTGAGGCCGCGCCAACCCCACGGTCATGCCCACCCCCACCAGGATGACTGCAGCCTCCCCCTCCCAGCCCCTCCCGGGAGAGTCGGTGGGTCTGGCGGCCTGAGCCCCGCTGACAGCCGTGCCGCTCCTGGGCTGCCCGCTGGCCTGGGGGTGCCTGGGCTGGCGCGTGGGGGCTGGGGGCCCCGGCCTGTGGGACACACGTCCTCGTCCCCAGCTGGCACACTCCCTGCTTGGTCCTCCTCCTTCCACCTCATCTGGAGAGGGCAGAATGAACGCTGTTGCTCCCCTCCAGATGGGGAAACCGAGGCTCAGGCACAGGGCTGCTCGCCTCCAGCCCCCGGAGTGCAGGGCGCTGCCCCTGCCCGGACCTCACGGTCACTGCCCTGACGGGCTCTGGCTGGGACTGGTCCCTCATCTGGGCCGCACCGGCGCCGCGGCCCCATCAGCTGGCGAGAAGGCGACGCCCGGCCTGGCTGACCAGCCCTGCCCCGGGGCCCGGCCCCCGCCCTCCCAGGTCCCGGGGAGGGCGCCCCCCACGCCCCTGCTCAGCGCCGGGCGCCCGCTGTCTGGCCGCCGGAGGGTGGCTGACCACAGAGGCCGGCCCTCACGTGGCCCACGCCCAGCTCCCCATGCAACTCTCGAGTCTCCTGTGCAACGTGACAGCGCCTTCCCGTCCCGGAGGAGAGTATTTTTAGTTTTGAACCCACCACGTGAAGAGAGACAAGTTATCAATAGCAGCGCAAAGGGCTTTTGCTTTTTTTCCCCGGTGGCTCTGGGACCTGAGCCGCCTGCAGTGCTCGGCGCCCGAGAAAGCAGGTTCCTCGTGGACGCTCACCCGCGCCGCCCTCCGCAGCTCCGCCTCGCCCCTCCCGGGTGCTCCAGCCGCCCCCACCCTCCGGCCCCTGCCCGGGCGGGCGGGGGCGGGGGTGCTGGGCACAGGGCAGAGAGGGCCGGAGGCCCTGCCCCAGAGCAGGCACCGATGAGGGGCCCTGGAGGTGGGGCCCCCACTTCCCCACTCCCAGGGGCCCCTGGCTTCGGCGGCAGCCCTAGGGTGCCGGCCCCAGCCGACCCGAGTCCAGAGAAGTGGCTCCGCGAGGGGTCCCCAAACCAGGTGCCACGGAGCCCCCAGGCCTTTCAGGCTGCCCTTGGGCGTCTCTGGAGGAAAGCGTCCCGGCCGGGGGGTTGGGAAAGCTGTGTGAGCCAGGGACGGGCACCTCTCCAGCGCCGGCTCACAGCCCTGCCCCCGGGGGTGCCGGGGTGGGGGGCTCTGGAGACCGAGAGCCTGGGACTTCTGCTGCCCCGTCCTTGGAGCACCTGCGGGGGCCTGGAGCGCCACCTGCGCGCCGGGGGACACGTGGGCCGTCTGGCCGTCTGGCCGTCTGGCCCTCAGGCCCCGCTAGCACGGCGTCTGCGAGGAAGCCCAAAATAACAGAGGCTCCAGCCAAGGAGACACGTGCGCTCCCCCGGGCGCCGGCAGTCCAGGCGGTCCCTGTGGGCCCAGCAGCAGGGGACGCGGCCCCCTCCGGTGCCAGCTCGGGCCTCAGCCTCCGCACTTGGGGGCTCAAGGCGGCTGCTGCGGCTCCAGCCGTCACGCGCGTCTCGGATCAGGAGGGCGGAGAGGGGAGCGGGAGGGCAGGGAGCTGCCCGGGGCGGTCGGCCCCTCTGAGGCCGCCCCTGAAGACGCCCCAGGGGCTCCAGCACGCCTCCTGGGCCAGAGGCCCCGCTCCGGGGGCCACAGCAGGCCACGTGCACAGCGGAACAGGCGTGGGTGGGGGGCGTGTGTGGTCGCTGGTCCTAGGACCTGCCTGCTGGCCTCGGAGGAGACCCCCCGGGCCCCCCAAAGCCCGTGCCCAGGGCTGCCTCTGGCCCCAGCTCTCTCCGGGGAGGCCCAGACACACAGGCCTCTCGCGAGGCGTGGGCTCCGGAGTGGCCAGGCCAGAGGGGCAGCGTCCTCGGCGGGGGCCTCCGGCTCAGCCCCACCCGTGTCCCGGCGCCCCATGCTGAGGAGCTTCCGGTCCCCCCCACGCCCCGCGGCCCAGGCCGCCTCTTCCCTCAGACCCGCCAGGTTGTCGGCCTGGCCTGGGCAGGGGCAGCCTCGCGCCGCTGGGCCACAGGGGCCGGGCAGGCGGGCTTGGCCCTCCCTCCTCAGCCCCGCGGGGCGCGTGGGGGCGGGAGGCGTGTGCTGCCTCGGCGTGGGCCAGGCAGGAGCGGGAGGAAGACAGCTTAGGCTGGGATAAATTTAACTTTCTGGAGCTGACTGCGGCGGCCGAGGCCCTGGGGGCCTGTGGTGCCAGGGAGCCGCCAGGCGGGGGCGAGGGGGCACGGTTCACAAGTTCACCGGGCTGGGCCCGGAGGGTCTGCAGGCGCCCGGCCACGGGGGGCTGTCCTGGAGCGCCCAGCCCGGGCCCCAGGCCTCGCTCCCCGCAGTGCACCTGGAAGTGGGGCGGCCGCCTGGAGCCGCGCTGTCCGGGCGCAGAGCACAGGGCCCGCCAGGCAGGCCGGGGCTGCGGCCACGGGGCGGCCGCGGGAGGCAGCAGGGGCGCGGGCTGGTTTGTGCCGGACGCCATCCCGAGGGCCCCCCGGAGGCAAAGCCGGCCTGACCTCCCCAGCTGCCCAGGGGGCTTGGTGAGCGCCCCGATCGGCAGCAGGTCCTGTGGGTCCAGGC